TCTTTCTTTCTTTCTTTCTTTCTTTCTTTCTTTCTTTCTTTCTTTCTTTCTTTCTTTCTTTCTTTCTTTCTTTCTTTCTTTCTTTCTTTCTTTCTTTCTTTCTTTCTTTCTTTCTTTCTTTCTTTCTTTCTTTCTTTCTTTCTTTCTTTCTTTCTTTCTTTCTGGGTTCTGGGTTTCTTGGGGTCACTTTCCCAAGGCTACTTCTAAAGTCTAGTCTTCTTGTAAGTCCTTCCAGAAGCAGATGCAAATTTGAAAATGATTAGGGACATAAAGTATTGTCAAAAGGTTTTGGGCATGCTGTGATGAGAAATAAACTTAAAAACTTAGTGACAGTTTGACAAACGTGATGAGGAAAAGACAAATGGAAAACACAGACATAACTATCGGAATGGTTTGACTGCATGGAGAAACTATAATAAAAAAAATTTATCTGGTTTGAAACTGTACATCCTTTGAGATAGCTGACTTTTAAGCATGGCATAGGATGATTTCCTGCAAGGTTTCGATGCATCTGCTTAAAAAGTGAGGAACTAACAGTGTGCATCCAAATAAAAAAAAAGCTGAAACAAATGTATGCACATGCACAACTGAAGTTCTGGAAAGGGATCAAAGTTTAGAAGTGGATGAACAACCATAACTTTTAGCCTAAGTTTACAGCTGATGAACACTAAGTAAATGATATACTTTCTTTAGAAGCACAAATAACTATGTAGTAGTATCATTCATCAGAAACAAAATGTTTTCTTTAGGGAAATTAATGTGGAGGAAGGCGATAAAAGAAGATACAGCTGTAGAACCTTAAGAATTGTACAGTCCAGACATGTATTTCTCTCTCTTTTTTTTCTTTAAACTGAGTCATGTAGCATATATATATATTTATAACTATCTTTTTTTTCTGTCTTTCTGTCAGATGGCTTATGTTTTTTGTGTCAGTTTTTCTCTTCAGTTGTTTGCTTGTTTGTATGTTCAGTTCACTGTTTGGCTTCATTATCTAGCTAGTTAGCTGTCTGTCTGTTTGTTTTTCTGGCTAGTTAGTATATAGCTTTAAATAAATGTAGAGAAACACAGACAGTTTTAACAAATAAAGATAAGAGAAACAGACAGCTAACAAATATTCAGATACCATCTGGATAGTCAGACAGACATCTAACTAGCCAGAAAAACAAACAGACAGACAGCTAACTAGCTAGATAATGAAGCCAAACAGCAAACTGAACATACAAACAAGCAAACAACTGAAGAGAAAAACTGACACAAAAAACATAAGCCATCTGACAGAAAGACAGATTAAAAGATAGTTATAAATATGCACAGATGAATAATTAATGAATTAGAGAGACATGTAATCAGACAGATGGATGAAAACAAATAAATCAGGTAAACAAACTAAGTGTGTATCAAATTGCTTTTATACTTTCAGAGTCCATCAACCAGGCAGCTATACTTCAGTCTAACAGATGGACAGTCCACAGTAAGTTCTTCTTCCAATTCAAAGTTTAACTAACCACGACCGGCTGAAGCTGACGGGCCTTGCTGCTGATGTCACCGGGTCGGGCTAACGATGCGTTAACGCAGCGGTTCTCAAACAAGAAATAAACTATTTTCGACTGTGGCGAGGGAAGACAACTTAAATTTTAATTTTAAAGTATCTACATGCATTCTTTAATAATTTCACAATTTTTAGCCGACTTTTCTTGATTTTTGCTACAGCACCCCTGGCATACGCTCACGGCACCCCAGGGCGCCTCGGCACCCAGTTTGAGAACCGCTGCGTTAACGCGTCGTTAGCCCATCCCAGGGACGTCAGCAGCACGGCCCGTCAGCTGAAGCCTGTCGTGAACTAACCTACCAAAGAACATGTGACAGCTGAACAGATCTCTGGAAAGAGGGAGACAACTCTGAATTGGTAGAAAGCTTTTGGAAGTCACAGTTAATCTCCTTCATCTGGATCTACACACTTGGTCATGCAAAAGTAAAAGTTAATGAATGAGCCAAACAGCTGGCAAGTAATTCACTGTTGCATACAGGAAGAAGCCTGGACAGAGCTAACATCATCAACTCAGTACGGACTAGGATGAGGACAAATCTCAGATGCTAATATGATTGTATGACCTAGAAGTAAATTTTGGTGAAGCACATCTATGCCGTCTTTAAGGCCAAGACAGGAGACACTGTAAGCAACTTCTCATGGGAACAATAAGTGGGAATATCTTGGAGTGGCTGCGACATCGGAGAACTTAACATCCATCGGAATACCCAATGTTCAATCAAACTGAGTTTGATCAAATAGCACACCATAAATTCTTGACAGATTTTTGTCATGGCACAATAGGGTTTCTGCACACAAATGAGTATATATGCAGTCATAGTCTGAAACATTATGACAGGCTAAAGAACAAAACCAATGAGAGAGATGTTTTCTCTTGAGTAAGTATTTCCAGAACTGTTATTGTCAGCATGTGAAACCTGGGCAATAAACAGACAAGCTGATAAATGTGGGTACAACTCAAAACGTCACCCCTTCTCAATGGCCGCTTGATTTTGTAGGGGATTTTCCAGTACACTCCTGTAGTCTACGGATGTCATGTGTTCTTCATTTTGACTGTTTCAGGCACATCCACCGGCGATGACAGCCACCACCAATGAGTGTTATAATACAAAAAAAAAAAAAAAACAATGATATGATACCGAAGAAGCATTGCTCCCCCCTGCAGTACTTCCTTCTCTACACAGGTGCCTGAGACCTACCGTACACAGAAAACAGAGTTGTGAAAAGAAACCTGCGGCAGCTGCTTTTTGACATGTCATAATGCCCCAGCCCATGGGAACTGGCACGACATGAATGGGACCCTGTGCGAATGAGATAGGTTGACTCACATGATTAGTACCCAAATATCTTATGTTTAAAGAAATGTGCGCTTTCTGAAAAGACAGAACAATACATATAGGCAGAATTCATTCATTCAGTGGCATGTCCCTCGCGGAACCTCGCTGCCATAACAACCCTCCGGAAAACCTTCCTATCCTGAGCAAGATGTCCTGCGTCTGATACACCCATCTGGAGATCATCTGCCACATCCTGCACCCATCTTCTCCTTGGCTTTCCTCTTCCTCTCTTCCCAGGCATATACCCCTCCATTATTGTTCTCTCTAGCTTCCATGACGTTTCAAGTGACCAAAATATTTCAATTTTCTTTGTTTTATTGTCTTTACTAGCCAACCCTCTTCAATATTCAGCTCTTGAAGTATGGATGCATTTGTTCTTTTCTTTACCCAAGATATTCTTAGAACCTGTCTGTAACATTTATATTCAAATGCATTTATGCGCTGTTCCGCTTGTTTAGTAAGTGTCCAGGTCTCACAGGCGTATGTTGCAATGGGAAAGATGCATGCTCTTAAAAATCTGACCTTTGTAATTCTATCTGTACAATTCCATAATTTATTCAGTTGTTTTAGTCTTTGAAGAGCAATTGATAGTCGCCGTTTAATTTCTTTCATTGTGTCACCATTGTTGGTAACCAGTGACCCAAGATATTCGAAATTTTCCACCACTTCCAATCTTTCCTCATTAACATATATTTCCTTCTCCATGGCAGTTTTGTTTGTATGCATTATCTTTGTTTTGCTATGTTAAGAAATAAGTTATGATTTTCACTATTTCTTTGGAGTGAGGTTAATAAGTTTTCTAAACCATTTTGTGATGTTGATAGTAATACTGTATCATCAGCATAACGAATTTCTGGTATTTCATGACCACCGATGTTTAGGGCATCATATTGTTCCTTGTTTATATCATCTCTTACATTTCTCATTATATTTTCGGCGTACAGGTTGAACAAATACGGTGACAGCACACATCCCTGACGGACTCCTTGCTTGATGCCAAACCAGTCTGATGTCTCTCCATCTATTCTGACTGCTGCTTGTTGGTCTTGATAGAGCATTTTAATGAGCTGCACTACATGTGATGGAAAGCCCATATTCCTCATGATTTCCCAAAGCTTCTGATGTTGTACACAGTCAAATGCTTTTGAATAATCCACAAAACATAAGAACAAATTTACATTAAATTCTCTACACTTCTCTATTATTAAACGCATGTTGAATATATGATCTCTTGTTCCTCTTCCCTGTCTAAATCCAGCCTGAGCTACATTAATCTCTTCTTCCATTTTCTTATGCAGTCTTCTCATTATAATTTTTAGTAGAATTTTACTTGCATGACTGATCAGTGCAATAGTTCGATAGTTTGTACATAATTTCAGGTCACCCTTTTTTGGTATTGGAATGAAGATAGTTCTCTTCCAGTCTTTTGGCCAAATACCATATTTCCTTTTCTTTTCACATAATGCATGATAGATTTTTATGCTTTCTTCTCCTCCCGCTTTAATCAATTCAGCTGGTATCTCATCACATCTAGGTGATTTACCATTTTTCAGGCTCCTTATTGCCCATGAAATTTCATCTAATGAAGGTTCAGGTTCTGCCTCTACTGTTACTGGTTCATGTATATCATTCATATCCTCACTGTCATTCATATCATACATTCCGCTGCAGTATTCCTGCCATCTTCCTAGAATTTGTCTAGATTCTGTTAAAGTATTTCCCAACCTGTCACAAATAACATTTAACTGAGGTTGAAAATTTCTTGAATTACTCACTTTAAAAGAAATGTTGACACTATTTATGTTGGCCAGGCCCCCTCACTAAAAACCTGTTTCTAAGATGACCATGAGGAGGTATAGATGAGTCTTGACCAGTATCAGTCTGGTCCTGGTGTATTACTACATGTGGCTGTGTACCTGTACATCCTCCATTTAAGAGAAATGTTGATGGAGTATTTGACAGTAGTCAGGGACACTTGTATTGCCTTAATTTTGTTTGTTTGTGCTCTTCAGATCCAAGTTCGAACCCTCATGATTATTAATGATGTCAATGACAACCCACCAGAATTTGTTGGACTTCCTTATAGAACATCAGTCAGAGAGGTTAGTCTACCAATGATGTTAATGGGGTACTTTTGTAAAAGGGTTCTGGTCACATTCGCCATTCTGCTGCTGGAGGTGCACTTATTTACACTAGTGGATCCATCATTTGACATGTACCAGGCTCATGGGCTTTCACAATTCTGGTTTGAAGAACTGTAAAAGAATATAGCAAAGCTTTTTTCATGACAACTACAAGTAGTTATGACTATGGAGATGATGATATTAACAAAAGCAATGATGTGGCTAGAGACATAAATTTTACCATGCTAATTTTTTAAGTGATTCCTTGAGCATGCTTAAGATGATGAACACAGGATGGGTTAGAAGGCATTAGTTTGAGTTCCTGAGGAAATCTCGTCTGATAAGAATCAGTTTCATTTTTATGCAAGGGCACTCTAGTGGAAGAAGGAATGAATGAGTGGAGTGGCTTGCTGATAGGGCCACTGTAGGTACAGGACAAGCAATATACTGGGCCGAAGATCTCAAGGCTTTCAAGGGGGCAGGACGAGTAGATAATTCAGGAGATGATGCTGAGGTGACAATATTAAAAAAAAAAAACTATAAGAATTTCAGGTCAAAAGAGGTATTGCCAGTCATGAACACTATACAGGTAGCCAAAGAAGAGTAGCAAACCAACAAGAACTGGTGTCAATAGTTGTCTCACGTGGAGGGATATACTGAAGATGGGATCCAAGCACTTATTGACTTATCCTATGTGCGATGAAGATAATCGGTCAACTAACTTATCATCTTTGTGCGTTATAATTCCTGTATCTTCCTATAGCACAATGTAACACTGCTGTCTAGAAAGACAGAAAGGTCCAACAGGTATACACACAAGCAAACATACATGCAAACATCATCATACACACACACACTTTCTCTCACACACGCAGTCATACACATGTATGCAAACACTTAGCAACTGATTCACAGTGACTGTATTTTATTGTTTGCACATATGCAGGACCTGAATATAGGAACATCAATCTATAAAGTGTCAGCCACAGACCCAGACAGCAATATGGGAGGCCGTGTTGTTTTCACCATGAAGGTGACAAGAATTTTTGTTGTCTTTAAGAGAAACCTGAGTTTGATTTTAAAAAAAAAAAAAGTTTTGCTTCTGGCATGTCTTATTGTTGACTTATTGGTTTTATTAAATATGTCATAATATATTTGAGTACTTACTTATACCATGAAAAAATATCAGTTGAAATAAGAAGTAGAATTTAAAAAAGTTAACTGCGTATCCTTGACAGGACGTTGCAGAAAAAACCCCAGCATTTTTGTTGTTGTTGCTGTTGTGGTTTTTCTAGGCAAATTTACGTTCAGTAGTTCTGCCATTGCTTTCTGGATGGTCAGCTTCTTGATACCACTATCGAAACCAACGCAAGGCCCGCAGCTGGAATTGAACCTGGCACCCCGGCATTACGATGCTCATTTGCAACATGTAAGCCACAGATCCTGAAGTAGGACTAATTATATTACCACAAAATTAATAATAAATAACTTTTGTCGCTAAAAAGCCTCCATTAGCATCTGACATGAAATGACAGTGGTACAAACAAGAGTGCACAAAATCACTTATCTGTGCACTGAAGTCTCTCAAAGATATATCCATAACACACCTGGATAGCCAAAACTTTGTGTTACATGTGATGCAGGAAGATGATACTCTACAGGAGGAGGGGGTAGGATTGGCATGTTAGGGCATGGGTTATAACTCTAAAGTATTAGATGAAGCTGTGTTGGAGAAATCCCAAATTTCTTACTTGTAAAAAATGTTGTGTCACTTCCAATGGAAGATTATCACATAGATAAAGAAAAGAAAAGGACAGGCTCAAAACTGTATTTTATAAAATGAAGACCATTTTATGCAATAAATCCATGTCATTGGAGGTAAGGAAAATAATGCTTGCATGCTCTATAAAGCCAGTTTTAACATACGGCTGTGAATCCTGGATGATTGATGAACAAGCCAAACAATTTCTTGAGGTCTTGAAGATGTAGTTTTACAGAAGAATCCTAAGAATTTATTGGACACTAATAAAAGGAACCCAGATGTTTTGAAAGAGGTGATGGCTTGAAGAAAACTTATCACAAACATCAGAAAGAAACAGTCATCATGTTTTGATCATAATATGAGAAGAGGGAAATTGGAACATGTTGTGACCACTGGAAAGAGAGACATACGGGAAGACAGCGTGAGAAGATTCTTGTCAGCTTTTTGTCATTGCATGGAGGGGTATCAACACACTAATTGATACAATCAGTTGTGGATCCCAGATTGTTTAGAGGCATGACTGTCCATGCCAGTCGGCAAGGCATTTGATGATGTGTCAATTGATTAATCAGGTGCCATCATCACAGTAAAGGAAGGCTGCAGAGGATCACCAATACTGCCTGTCTCTTGCACTGGATGCTCTCTGACTGCTTGTTGATTTATCCCATGATGCCGTCCCCACATATAATGCAGTCGACTCTGTGCCCACCTGTTTTCAAGAGTTTTCAACTGTTTTTAGTTTTATAAGAATATTAAATCTGTGGTTAGTGAAATGGTTGCACAATGCAATCTTTGATATCTATCATGGTTTAGTTCGGGAGTCACCGTGGCTGAGTGGCTAGATGCTCGCCGCAAATCGGAAGGTCGTGGGTTCACTCCCTGGCAGAGCCGGGGAGTTTTTCAGAAATGACCTTACCTCCCATGTTGACCCAGCCTTGAGTGGGTACCGGGTACAGTCCGGGAAGCAACGGCAGCCCGTGTGATGCTGACCACATCACCCATCTTGTGCCGATTGATCTGTAAAAATATAGTTCTAGCCCTAAATGCCCTATACGCCTAAAGGCATGGAAAAGCTGTCCTTTACTTACTTTTTTATGGTTCAGTTCCTGTGGTTGGTAGTATAGAACTAGACAGTTCTGCTGGCTTTCAGACTGTGGTACAAAAGTGGCACCAAGGAAGATTGTTTCCATGTGGGAATTTTGGAGAGGGGAGAGTGGGGGGGGGGGGGGGAGAAGTGACCCACTGTCCACCAACAAGCATTTTGTACAAGGCAACTAATTAAGAGTGTTTCCTTCAAATTCAGAGTGCATCTGCCTGAAAGGCAAAGAACCAACAGTCTGCATACAAATAATCTAGATCTGTGGATCGAATGTACATACAAAACTCAAGTTCTGGAAGAGGACCAGATTCCAGAAGTGGATGAACAATCAGAACTTTCTGCTGGTTTACAGCTGATGAAGATTAAGAAGAAGAATAAGTAGAAGAAAATTCCCCTAGTTAGCTAGCAGTGATACCTTGTAGTTAACATCCATTGTGGAGAGAGTAATTTTTTATTTCTTATTATTGTCAATTAATAAAAATGAAAAATTACACTTGCTTTTTTTTTAAATTTAATTTCTTTCACCTTATATCATTGCTTTTTTATATCTTTTAAACAATTTCTGCAGGCAGTAATAGGTGACAGCAGTGAGACATTTTTACTGGAATCATTTTTGGGCAGTATCACATTAAATAAATCTTTAGACTATGAGACCCAGTCTTTCTATCACTACAATGTGTCAGTGAAGGTGAGTTTTGATTGACACTACATGTGGTGACACTGATGTGTATGTGTTTTGGTCAGTCTATCTTCTTAGGAGTAATGTATCTAATTACCTACTACTGCACGTATGTATGCATTTACATGTATGTGTGTGTGAATATGAGTGTGTGTATGTATATGGGTATGTATGTATGTATGTGGGTGTATATTTATGTGTCTATATGAGTGGGGTGAGTGTGTGCATGCATTTTAAAACCCTTGCTTTTGGGTTTTTTCTTGATATTCATAATATTCATTTTATTATATGAACATAACATGCTTTATTGATTAATTACAACTGCTGTGTGAAAGATGGGTGTTTAGAAAAAGCCGAATGTAAGACGGGCTTGCCTACCCAATTTGTGACCCTTTGAAAATAAAGTTTGTTCGCTCATTCATACTAGGGCTGTAACGAATAAGGATTTTTCACTATTCCGCCGAATATGAATAGCGTGAATAACTATTCGTATGAATACGAATCGTGTATCATCATCATCAGGTGCTTTGCCAACTGACGTGGGTCTTGCCACAACCTGCAATCTCCTGCAGCATGTATTAGTTCGTGTGCTGACACACATCCATGCCATGCAACAAGACTGTCAAGAATCTTTTCTCGTTGTCATCCTCTATCCCTCCTTCCACAGATCTTTCCAGTGGTCACCACATGTTCCATTTTCCCTCTTCTCATAACATGGCCGAAAAAAAATGACTGTCTCCTTCTGATTAGTTGTCTTTGGGCTCCCATCTCTTTTAAAACCTCTTGGTTGCTTTTTTTTTGGGCAGTCCAGGTATTTTAAGCATCTTTCTGTAAAACCACATCTCAGAGCCCTCAAGAAATTGTTTGGCCTACCTACCAATTGTCCAGGACTCACAGCCATATGTTAAAACTGGCTGCTGTACCACGCAAATGGGTCGCAGTTGCCTCCACAGCAACAGACTTAGGCAACAGCAACTTTTATGTTAATGAGAGAGTTTTTTCAGTCTATCGCAGTGTATGCAGAAACAGGTGTAAGGTAACCAGAAGTACTATTTGTATTCGGCCCGACTGCAAGTATTCAGTGCAGAATACCAAATAGTTATTAGGTCCACTATTCAATACCCAAAGCGAATACGAATCCAATATTCCGTGCAGTCCTAATTCATACTAACCAACCTACCTATCTAATTACCCACAAATTTACCTGTCCACCAACCTGCCAACATACCTTCCAATCTAATTTGCAACCTAATAGCCAACCTACATATTTGTCTGTCCATCCAGTTGACTTCACACCCATCTGCACACCCAATATGAAATCATACTTTGTAGTATCCCCATGTGGGCTTCCATGCCCTACTTTGGGGACAACAATAATAGACACAGTAGCAGCGTGACTTGTTACTTGCCAATCTGTTAGGAGCCACAGCAGCAGCATGACTTGTTACTTACCTATCTGCTAGGAGCCACAGTAGCAGCATGACTTGTTACTTACCTGTCTGCTAGGAGTCACAGTAGCAGCATGACTTGTTACTTACCTATCTGTTAGGAGCCACAGTAGCAGCATGACTTGTTACTTACCTGTCTGCTAGGAGCCACAGTAGCAGCATGACTTGTTACTTACCTATCTGCTAGGAGCCACAGAGCAGCATGACTTGTTACTTACCTATCTGCTAGGAGCCATAGTAGCAGCGTGACTTGTTACTTGTTAGCAGCCACAGTAGCCCCATAACATGCATGATGCTAAAGGTTTATTAAGAATTTTTTTTATTGAAACTGAACATGTTGGGCATAAAAAAAAAGTAAACAAAAAAATTAATAAAATGAACTAACAACTATCTGTACAAACAACTATCTGTAAACCACAACGCAAAAGTACCAATTGCCATTTATGGGCAAAATTAGAAAAATAAAAAGGAGAAGAAGTCAGCCTGTAGTATACACGAAGGCATATCTGATTTTCAGCAAGCATGACTTAATGCTTCCCTATCTGTTAGAAGCTACAGTAGCAGCATGACTTGTTACTTCTCTTTTTGTTAGAAGCTACAGTAGCAGCATGACTTAATGCTTCCCTATCTGTTAGGAGCCACAGTAGCAGCGTGACTTAATGCTTCCCTATCTGTTAGAAGCTACAGTAGCAGCATGACTTGTTACTTCTCTTTTTGTTAGAAGCTACAGTAGCAGCATGACTTAATGCTTCCCTATCTGTTAGGAGCCACAGTAGCAGCGTGACTTAATGCTTCCCTATCTGTTAGAAGCTACAGTAGCAGCATAACGTAATGCTTCCCTATCTGTTAGGAGCTACAGTAGCAGCATGACTTGATACTTGCCTTTCTGTTAGGAGCCACAGTAGCAGTATGACTTGATACTTCCATCTGTTAGGAGCCACAGTAGCAGCATGACTTGATAATTCCCTGTCTGTTAGGAGCCACAGTAGCAGTATGACTTGATACTTCCATCTGTTAGGAGCCACAGTAGCAGCATGACTTGATAATTCCCTGTCTGTTAGGAGCCACAGTAGCAGTATGACTTGATACTTTCATATGTTTTAGGAGCCACAGTAGCAGTATAATGTAATACTTACCAATCTGTTAGGAGCCACAATAGCAGCATGTCTTGTTGCTTTCGCTGTCTGTTAGGTGCCACAGTAGCAGCACAACTTGTTACTTACCTGTCTGCTAGGAGTCACAGTAGCAGCATGACTTGTTACTTGCCAATCTGTTAGGAGCCATAGTAGCAGCGTGACTTGTTACTTGTTACTTGTTACTTGTTAGCAGCCACAGTAGCCCCATAACATGCATGATGCTAAAAGTTTATTAAAAATTTTATCGAAACTGAACATGTTGGGCATAAAAAAAAAGTAAACAAAAAAATTAATAAAATGAAGCACTAACAACTATCTGTACAAACAACTATCTGTAAACCACAACACAAAGTACCAATTGCCATTTATGGGCAAAATTAGAAAAATAAAAAGGAGAAGAAGTCAGCCTGTAGTATACACGAAGGCATATCTGATTATCAGCAAGCATGACTTAATGCTTCCCTATCTGTTAGAAGCTACAGTAGCAGCATGACTTGTTACTTCTCTTTTTGTTAGAAGCTACAGTAGCAGCATGACTTAATGCTTCCCTATCTGTTAGGAGCCACAGTAGCAGCGTGACTTAATGCTTCCCTATCTGTTAGAAGCTACAGTAGCAGCATGACTTGTTACTTCTCTTTTTGTTAGAAGCTACAGTAGCAGCATGACTTAATGCTTCCCTATCTGTTAGGAGCCACAGTAGCAGCGTGACTTAATGCTTCCCTATCTGTTAGAAGCTACAGTAGCAGCATAACGTAATGCTTCCCTATCTGTTAGGAGCTACAGTAGCAGCATGACTTGATACTTGCCTTTCTGTTAGGAGCCACAGTAGCAGTATGACTTGATACTTCCATCTGTTAGGAGCCACAGTAGCAGCATGACTTGATAATTCCCTGTCTGTTAGGAGCCACAGTAGCAGTATGACTTGATACTTCCATCTGTTAGGAGCCACAGTAGCAGCATGACTTGATAATTCCCTGTCTGTTAGGAGCCACAGTAGCAGTATGACTTGATACTTTCATATGTTTTAGGAGCAACAGTAGCAGTATAATGTAATACTTACCAATCTGTTAGGAGCCACAATAGCAGCATGTCTTGTTGCTTTCGCTGTCTGTTAGGTGCCACAGTAGCAGCACAACTTGTTACTTACCTGTCTGCTAGGAGTCACAGTAGCAGCATGACTTGTTACTTGCCAATCTGTTAGGAGCCATAGTAGCAGCGTGACTTGTTACTTGTTACTTGTTACTTGTTAGCAGCCACAGTAGCCCCATAACATGCATGATGCTAAAAGTTTATTAAGAATTTTATCGAAACTGAACATGTTGGGCATAAAAAAAAAGTAAACAAAAAAATTAATAAAATGAAGCACTAACAACTATCTGTACAAACAACTATCTGTAAACCACAACGCAAAGTACCAATTGCCATTTATGGGCAAAATTAGAAAAATAAAAAGGAGAAGAAGTCAGCCTGTAGTATACACGAAGGCATATCTGATTATCAGCAAGCATGACTTAATGCTTCCCTATCTGTTAGAAGCTACAGTAGCAGCATGACTTGTTACTTCTCTTTTTGTTAGAAGCTACAGTAGCAGCATGACTTAATGCTTCCCTATCTGTTAGAAGCTACAGTAGCAGCATAATGTAATGCTTCCCTATCTGTTAGGAGCTACAGTAGCAGCATGACTTGATACTTGCCTTTCTGTTAGGAGCCACAGTAGCAGTATGACTTAATACTTCCATCTGTTAGGAGCCACAGTAGCAGTATGACTTGATACTTCCCTGTCTGTTAGGAGTCATAATAGCAGTATGACTTGATACTTCCCTATCTGTTATGAGCCAAAGTAGCAGCATGACTTGATAATTCCCTGTCTGTTAGGAGCCACAGTAGCAGTATGACTTGATACTTTCATATGTGTTAGAAGCCACAGTAGCAGTATGACTTGATGCTTTCAAATGTTTTAGGAGCTACAGTAGCAGTATGATGTAATACTTCCCAGTCTGTTAGGAGCCACAATAGCAGCATGACTTGTTGCTTTCGCTGTCTGTTAGGTGCCACAGTAGCAGCACGACTTGTTGATTCCTTGTCTGTAAGGAACCACAGTAGCAACATGACTTGATACTTCCATATCTGCTGGGAGTTCAGTAGCAGCATGACTTGATACTTCCCTGTCTGTTAGGTACCACAGTTGCAGCATAACTTGTTGCTTGCCTACATATTAGGAGCCACAGTAGCAGTATGACTTGTTGCTTCCCTATCTGTTAGAAGCCACAGTAGCAGTATGACTTGTTGCTTCCCTTTCTGTTAGGAGCCACAGTAGCAGCATGACTTGTTGCTTCCTTGTCTGTTAGGAGCCACAGTAGTAGTATGACTTGATACTTCCCTATCTGTTGGTAGCCACAGTAGCTGCATGACTTGATGCTTTCCTATCTATTAGTAGTCACAGTAGCAGCATGACTTAATGCTTGCCTCTCGGTTAGGAGCCACAGTGGCAGCATTACTTGATACTTGCCTATCTGTTAGGAGCCACAATAGCAGGATGACTTGATACTTACCTATCTGTTAGGAGCCAAGTAGCAGCATAACATTATACTTGCCTATCTGTCAGCGGCGTCCGTGGCTAAGGCGTTGCGAGTCCGACTCGTAAGCCAGCATACCGCGATTGAAACCCACTGCAGGCTGCGTGGATTTTTATCGTGGTATGGGACGTCGCAGGTCGACCCAGCCTAAAATGGGTACCAGGATGGGCTGTCCTGGGAAAGTAAAGTCAGCCGGCGTAATGCTGACCACATTACCCACAGAGTGCTAATGGTCTGTAAAAATATGGGACGCTCTGCCCATATGCCCGATGCGCCGAAAGGCGTGAAAAGGGAACTTTACTTTTTTTTTTACTTATCTGTTAGAAGTCACAGTAGCAGCATGACTTGATACTTGCCTATCTGTTTGGAGCGACAGTAGCAGCATGAATTGTTGCTTCCCTGTCTGTAAGGAGCCACAGTAGTAGCGTGACTTGATGCTTTCCTGTCTGTAAGGAGCCACAGTAGTAGCGTGACTTGATGCTTCCCTGTCTGTAAGGAGCCACAGTAGTAGCGTGACTTGATGCTTCCCTGTCTGTAAGGAGCCACAGTAGTAGCGTGACTTGATGCTTCCCTGTCTGTAAGGAGCCACAGTAGTAGCGTGACTTGATGCTTCCCTGTCTGTAAGGAGCCACAGTAGTAGCGTGACTTGATGCTTCCCTGTCTGTAAGGAGCCACAGTAGTAGCGTGACTTGATGCTTCCCTGTCTGTAAGGAGCCACAGTAGTAGCGTGACTTGATGCTTTCCTGTCTGTAAGGAACCACAGTAGCAGCATGACTTGTTGCTGTCCTGTCTGTTAGGAGCCACAATAGTAGCGTGACTTGATGCTTGCCTGTCTCTTAGGAGCCACAGTAGCAGCATGACTTGATGCTTGCCTATGTATTAGGAGCCACAGTAGCAGCATGAATTGATGCTTGCCTCTTGGTCCAAACGTGTTGGGTTAGAATCCACAATGAGCTGGTTTTTCACAAAATTGACCTTGGCCGCGGGGTCAGCCAAGATTAAAATTTTTCATTTTATGTTATAGGAAGTAAAGGCAGGCAGCATGATGTTGACCGCATCGCTCACTTAGTGCTGATCAGTTCTTCTTTGCTTATGTGCATACCTATAATTATTAAATATTTATGTTTGTATGTTCATATGTGTGTAGCATGTATGTGTGAATATTAATATATCATTTTAATATTCAATATTCTATACAGTCTCTATCCATCTGGAAAAATTAAACTGCATTACTTTCCATTGATTGATAATTTTGTTAATGTTAGTGTTTTCCTGTTTCCGCTGTCTCTAATTTGTTACATTATCTGAAACATAACAATGGCTTGCTATGTGAATCTTTGTGCAGGATCAGGGAGACCCACCTTGCCCAGGGGATACCTGTCAATGTATAGGAACCTTTGAGAAGTGTGACCCAGGATCTACTGATTTTTTCATCACAGTCATTGATGTCCAGGACACACCACCTGTCTTTGAAAGACTTCCCTACATCGGCAGAGTAGCTGAAAATGAAACAGTGGTAGGTGGAAGTGCTGATTTTACTTACACACAAGGGTCTGGTGATGTTTTTTGCCTGGGCTGTGAAGAAGGTATCATAGAGAACCCAATATTTGTAAAGTTTTTTTGTCCTTACCAATTTAGCCACTCATTTATGTTAACACACTTATGCCATTTCTGCTTGGCCTTTGAAATGTTTTTTTTTGGAATATAACACCATATTTTTTTAAGTACTTGCCACATACTAGTTAAGTAGGTGTCATATTCTTGTTTAGTGCTCGTTAAATACCTGTTACTTACTTGTTAAGTATTTAACACACGCTTGTTAATTATTTGTCATGTGCTTGTGACTTATTGAGAATTTATGTACTTGTTATGTACTTGTGAAGGAAATTCTCTGTACTTGTTATGTAACTTGTAAAGGACATTCTCTGTACTTGTTAAGTACTTGTGAAGAACATTCTCTGTACTTGTTACGTACTTGTGAAGAACATTCTCCTTACTTGCTAAGTACTTGTGAAGAACATTCTCTGTACTTGTAACATACTTGTGAAGAACATTCTCCTTACTTGCTACATACTTGTGAAGGACATTCTCTGTACTTGTTACGTAGTTGTGAAGAACATTCTCTGTACTTGTTACGTACTTGTAAAGGACATTCTCTGTACTTGTTACGTACTTGTAAAGGACATTCTCTGTACTTGTTACGTACTTGTGAAGAACATTCTCTGTACTTGTAACATACTTGTGAAGAACATTCTCCTTACTTGCTAAGTACTTGTGAAAGACATTCTCTGTACTTGTAATGTTACTTGTAAAGAACATTCTCTGTACTTGTTATCTGACTTGTAAAGGACATTTTCTGTACTTGTTAAGTACTTGTGAAGAACATTCTCTGTACTAGTTACGTACTTGTGAAGAACATTCTCTGTACTTGTTACATACTTGTGAAGGACATTCTCTGTACTTGTTATGTTACTTGTAAAGGACATTCTCTGTACTTGTTATCTGACTTGTAAAGGACATTCTCTGTACTTGTTAAGTACTTGTGAAGAACATTCTCTGTACTTGTTACGTACTTGTAAAGGACATTCTCTGTACTTGTTATTTGACTTGTAAAGGACATTTTCTGTACTTGTGAAGTACTTGTGAAGAACATTCTCTGTACTAGTTACGTATTTGTGAAAAACATTCTCTGTACTTGTTACGTACTTGTGAAGAACATTCTCTGTACTTGTTACATACTTGTGAAGAACATTCTCTGTACTTGCTACGTACTTGTGAAGGACATTCTCTGTACTTGTTACGTACTTGTGAAGGACATTCTCTGTACTTGTTATGTTACTTGTAAAGGACATTCTCTGTACTTGTTATCTGACTTGTAAAGGACATTCTCTGTACTTGTTAAGTACTTGTGAAGAACATTCTCTGTACTTGTTACGTACTTGTAAAGGACATTCTCTGTACTTGTTACATACTTGTAAAGGACATTCTCTGTACTTGTTATGTTACTTGTAAAGGACATTCTCTGTACTTGTTATCTGACTTGTAAAGGACATTCTCTGTACTTGTTAAGTACTTGTGAAGAATATTCTCTGTACTTGTTACGTACTTGTAAAGGACATTCTCTGTACTTGTTATCTGACTTGTAAAGGACATTTTCTGTACTTGTGAAGTACTTGTGAAGAACATTCTCTGTACTAGTTACGTACTTGTGAAGAACATTCTCTGTACTAGTTACGTACTTGTGAAAAACATTCTCTGTACTTGTTACGTACTTGTGAAGAACATTCTCTGTACTTGTTACATACTTGTGAAGAACATTCTCTGTACTTGCTACGTACTTGTGAAGGACATTCTCTGTACTTGTTATGTTACTTGTGAAGGACATTCTCTGTACTTGTTATGTAGTTGTGAAGGACATTCTCTGTACTTGTTATCTGACTTGTAAATGACATTCTCTGTACTTGTTAAGTACTTGTGAAGTACTTGTGAAGAACATTCTCTGTACTTGTTACGTACTTGTGAAGAACATTCTCTGTACTTGTTACCTACTTGTGAAGAACATTCTCTGTACTTGTTACGTACTTGTGAAGAACATTCTCTGTACTTGTTACATACTTGTGAAGGACATTCTCTGTACTGGTTATGTTACTTGTAAAGGACATTCTCTGTACTTGTTATCTGACTTGTAAAGGACATTCTCTGTACTTGTTAAGTACTTGTGAAGGACATTCTCTGTACTTGTTACGTACTTGTGAAGAACATTCTCTGTACTTGTTACATACTTGTGAAGAACATTCTCTGTACTTGCTACGTACTTGTGAAGGACATTCTCTGTACTTGTTACGTACTTGTGAAGGACATTCTCTGTACTTGTTATGTTACTTGTAAAGGACATTCTCTGTACTTGTTATCTGACTTGTAAAGGACATTCTCTGTACTTGTTAAGTACTTGTGAAGAACATTCTCTGTACTTGTTACGTACTTGTAAAGGACATTCTCTGTACTTGTTACATACTTGTGAAGGACATTCTCTGTACTTGTTATGTTACTTGTAAAGGACATTCTCTGTACTTGTTATCTGACTTGTAAAGGACATTCTCTGTACTTGTTAAGTACTTGTGAAGAACATTCTCTGTACTTGTTACGTACTTGTAAAGGACATTCTCTGTACTTGTTATCTGACTTGTAAAGGACATTTTCTGTACTTGTGAAGTACTTGTGAAGAACATTCTCTGTACTAGTTACGTACTTGTGAAGAACATTCTCTGTACTAGTTACGTACTTGTGAAAAACATTCTCTGTACTTGTTACGTACTTGTGAAGAACATTCTCTGTACTTGTTACATACTTGTGAAGAACATTCTCTGTACTTGCTACGTACTTGTGAAGGACATTCTCTGTACTTGTTATGTTACTTGTGAAGGACATTCTCTGTACTTGTTATGTAGTTGTGAAGGACATTCTCTGTACTTGTTATCTGACTTGTAAATGACATTCTCTGTACTTGTTAAGTACTTGTGAAGTACTTTTGAAGAACATTCTCTGTACTTGTTACGTACTTGTGAAGAACATTCTCTGTACTTGTTACCTACTTGTGAAGAACATTCTCTGTACTTGTTACGTACTTGTGAAGAACATTCTCTGTACTTGTTACATACTTGTGAAGGACATTCTCTGTACTTGTTATGTTACTTGTAAAGGACATTCTCTGTACTTGTTATCTGACTTGTAAAGGACATTCTCTGTACTTGTTAAGTACTTGTGAAGGACATTCTCTGTACTTGTTACGTACTTGTGAAGAACATTCTCTGTACTTGTTACATACTTGTGAAGAACATTCTCTGTACTTGCTACATACTTGTGAAGGACATTCTCTGTACTTGTTATGTTACTTGTGAAGGACATTCTCTGTACTTGTTAAGTTACTTGTGAAGGACATTCTCTGTACTTGTTATGTACTTGTGAAGGACATTCTCTGTACTTGTTATGTGACTTATTACTTCAGTGTAAGTTCTAGGGTCCCATTATCAGGAAAAAATAAATTGACATACTGCTCCTTTACAAGGATGTAGTTAAAAAAAAAATAATTAAGGGGTTTCTGGAACTATATTTTGTTTTGTCTGAGAGGTGTAGATCTCACAGTCTAGGTGTAAACAACAACTCAGTTTTTATATCCGTCTGTTAAGGAGAAGAAGGAGGAAGAGAAGAAGAAGAAGGAGAAGAAGAAGGAGGAGAATAATAAAAAAAAAGGAGGAGGTGGAAGAGGAGAAGAAAAAGATGAAGTTGAAGAATGTATTTGTTTAGTATCTGTGTACTTGTTGATTACTTATTATATACTTGTTAACTACTGCCTTGTTAAGTACTTACTGCATACTTGTTATGCATGTGGACATTTTTCAGGGTTCTCCTATTCTTCAAATAACAGCCAGAGATGGTGACAGGGGAGTCAGCCAACCAAATAATATTGTGTTTTCATTCACTGAAGGTAAGCATTTCATTCATATCTTTCAGGATTATTTTGTTGCTTGTGTTACGATGGTTATAACAAGTATTTGCTATTGGCTGTAGAATTCGGAAAGCCTTCCACATAATTCATTGTGTAATAATATGAAGAAGTAAATACAGTCAGGTTTTGGTTAGACTTGACTGATGACTATAACAGTGATCATTACTACCTGTTCTAGCTTAATGCTAACAGTTGGACAGCAAATACATCCTATTGTACTGATGGCTTCTGGTGGTGGATGCATTGGGGAGGATACTAGTCTTTTCCTAAGAAGTGGAAATGCAACCTGGAAACTTAGTGTTATACATGAGCAAAGTTCTGAGTCCCCAGTCCTGATCATCCTATACACATGGCTTGGAATCCAATGGATCCAGTTCTCCCCTCCCCCCCCCCCCTTTCCCTCCAAACACAGTTTCTTTCTTTTGTTCGAGAAGACTGACTGGGTCTTTGGAATTGTGCTCCGGATGGGAAGTGTTCCAATCTGTTTTAATGGTTGATTTGATCTGGATTTTATTTTCCAAATAAGGAGAGTGGAGTAAAAGTAGTGACTGTATTGCAATTAATGACAAATTATCATCACTGATATATTTGTTCACAGGTGACTATTCTTCCTTTCAAATTAATGAAAATGGAACCATCAGTGTAGGGAAGATATTGGATGCAGACACAGATGATGTTAGAGACAAAGGAGGTCTCTATGTCTTTACACTCACTGTAAGTTACCGGGTCATTAGTTCTTAAAATGATTGTTTGAATTTTTACTAAACAGGATGCAGAGGTGCGGGACCACATGTGATGATACAGCAGATCCAGGACTCATAGTGGTCAAGACCTGTCTAGACAACTATGTATGTAATTATAGACACAGGGTCCCTTCTGGAAGCCTAGCCAGCATAGATACAATAGATGCTTCCTTCTTAGTTGGAGTGTGTCTTATCTAAGTGTGTCTAATCTAAGTGTGTCTTATCTAAGTGTGTCTTTTCTAAGTGTGTCTTATCTAAGTGTGTCTTATCTAAGTGTGTCTTATCTAAGTGTGTCTTATCTAAGTGTGTCTTATCTAAGTGTGTCTTATCCACGGCCAGCTCCAGATTTATAAGGCCGTACAGCTCAAACGGAAATTCCCGTTCTTGTGCAAGAATTGAGTCCCTCTGCTTCCACAGTTTTTAACGAGGAGATGTATACACAAATTAAACTACAGTTTCATTAATTTTAGACATATTTTTTAGAACTATACGTCATTTTTAAGGTAAATAAGTGTGCCAATTAAATATAAAAATAAAGGCTCTTACAGACAAACAAAAATGCTTTTGCTACAGTCAATATGAACATAAACATCCATAACGTTTAGATGTAAACTAAAAGTTGTTCCAGCAAAAGTAAAGAAATAGCAGTGCTAACTCTTTGATTCTGAGAGAGGGGGAAGGGGTGACAAAGTTTGTGCTTTGTGCAACAATCTCGGCAGGTGGCTAGCCTTTGTGTGGGGAGAGACTGAGACATACAGGATAATCTGAGGCATTGAAGTTGATTTATTTGACTGTAATTTTAACTTTATGATGCTACACTTGGTCTTCCTCTTCTTTTGAGTTCATCTGGGTAAAGATTTGTCACCACAGCTATCAGGACAAGCCCATATTAGCTCCATCAGCAAAGATTCTCCATAATAATGGTACCCATTGTCAACTGGTTAACTACTCGTCTTGCCTTTCTTCTGAGTCTTGAATGGAACCCAGAGCCTGCAGACACTCCCTGCTGCATCCTTCTCTCCAGGGACTAAATTTCAGTATTTTAAATTTTGCTTGTTACTTCAGCCTGCAGGAAAGAGTTCACCTCTGCTTTGAACAGTTGCCATAAATGAGGCTTGTCCAGCCAGATTATCTGCTTGCTCATTCCCAAATATACCTACACAGCCTGGGGAACACCCATGTGACTCTCGCCATCTATGATCTCTTGATTGATGCGATTCCCTCTATGCAAAGAAAAGTGACTCCACCATCCCGCCCATGCATTTTGAATCTGATACTATGACCACACATGTGGCTGAGATTTTCTCCACCCATCAGAACCTCCTCTCTTTTACCCCCTTGATTATTCATACGTTCACACAGTGTAGATTTTTAAAATTATTTTCTTTATGTGTGTAAAGAATGTGAATTACTTCTCCTATTTTTAATATTTCTGTCAGGCAACTGAAGTCCCAAGAAGTAATGTTACAACCAGCCCTAACCCAAACAACCAGAGCAGAACTCAAGTGTCAATAACAGTGACAGACGTAAATGACAATCCACCAAAATTTACGGCCAACAATTTTACTGCAACCGTCTTAGAGAACACACCTGCAGGTGTGCCAATTACAACTACCTCTGTAATAGAGGCATTTGACAAAGACCAGGTGGGTAGTATCATGTTTTTAAGGCCAATAACTAAGACAGTAAGATCTTTCATGATTTCTGTAGCATATTTGTTCCTGATAAAACACAGTGTCCCTATAATAAAAAAACTCAGGAATAAATCATAAGCAAACACTTGAGACCACAGAAACGGCATGCTATATCTCAATAATTGGCCTGTACTGATTGATACTTTTAGGGTTATGTGAAACTAGATGGACTGGGACAGAGAAAAGTATTCTAAATTCAGGGGAAACTATTTTATTCTCAGGACACACAGAGGAAAATTCGCCCCACAGTGAAGGAGTGGCCCTGATGCTATCAAAAGAAGCAGACAGGGCACTAATAGAATGGGAAGCTGTGAGTCCCAGAATAATAAGAGCATCTTTTAGAATAGTGAAACAGAACATGAACATGTCAGTAATACAGTGTCATGCACCAACAAATGATAAAGATGCATCTGTTAAGGAAGAATTTTACAAAAGAATACACAAGGCAACATGGGAATCACCAGGCCATAAGACAACTAATCAAATTGACCACCTATGTATTAACAAAAAGTTTAGATCATCCCTTTACGATGTTAGGGCTTTCAGAGGTGCCGATGTATTTTAATTGCATCTCACTAGGAGATGACTGGATTAATACAGGTTGGTAAAAAAATATTTCTTATTTAATATGCCTTAGTAGACAAATGTATATAAACTTCTTTGTATCAAAAGCGGCATCATTTGTCCTAGTACTTGGTTTCTTTAGCACATCATGTTGTGTAATGCTGTCACATATGATTATGGAATAGAGAAAAGAAGAATCCTGTCGCAGATACTGGAATGGTAAGCTTTCGCATACAATAGGTCATCATATCATAGACAGCTACAAGATTAAATAAGACTAAATAGTCTTGTTTTCTGCATTTGTGTTTTTGTCGAGCTTCTCAGTTATGTTCTAATATGCCTAATACATTATTTCTTATTAACAGGGCAGCAACAGTAAATTCTGGGTGTATCTGGAGAAAGATGGTGTTCCCTACTTTGACTTTGACACACTACCAAGACAACATTCAGTAATACAAGGGAGATCAACAATAACTATAAGGGTAGCTAACTCTTCAGTCTTAGACTATGAAACAACAAAGACCATCACTTTTAAGGTAATATAATTTATTCATGTATCCATAATTTCCTCTTAAAATTTTTTCTTCTGCATTAATAGTAATCTTTAAGGAGTGAAAATGTTTCAGAAAAATTTTGAGTATATGAGGATGAGTAAAAATGGTGTTGAGGTACTGAGATATGAAGGTTTACAAAATCATTCATAAAAATAATAAAGGAAAAGAAGAATTAAGTGTTAGACTTATACATTTGAGACTTACTTGCTCATTAATGTATTGATGTTATATAAGGTGACCATATATTAAATATTGAGTTCTGAAAAACATAAATTAATCAACAGAAATTATAGGAAAAAAAAAAGAAATTAAAAAAAAAAAAATGTGCAGATGTAAAGAGCAAAAGTTAGGACTAAAGAAAATAACAGGTAAAAGCAGGAAACATTTGAGGCCACTAATGTCAAGAGATATGGGCAGATCAGCATGGAAAAATATCAAACCAAAATTTAAAAAAATGATGAAGAATAACTGGTCCACTCCTGTGTACCATAGAGATGATATAGTTATGATGTTGGTAATGATGCTAGTTTTTTTAAATTAAAAACAATATCTGTAAGTGCATTTTATTTGTCGAGCAGTCATGTATCACATTAACTCTTTCACTCCCAAGGTACATATCACACATTCATAGGTTCCTACCTAGAAGCCCACTCAATGCAAGATGTGCTGATGTATGACAGTTGTTTTGAATTGACAGGGCAACAATAAATAATTATCATTTGATAATTCAGCATGGATTTATGTACTTTTATTCTTCTTTTGTTCTTCCCCAGATAATTGCTCGAGAAAACAACACAGACCCACAAATAGAAACTTCATCTGAGACTACAGTAATACTAGAAATTGAAGACACTAATGACAATGATCCTTACTTTCCACTCCAGCCAACCATATTCAATGTTTCTGAAGACATTGCTGTGGGTACTGTCATCGCAAACATCACAGCTGATGATGTTGATTCTGGAGACTTTGGCCAGTTCACTTTTAGCCTGGAACATGATGGATATAATGGTGAATTCAATATTACAGAGCAGGTAATAACCTGTTTGATTTTACTGAATAAACAGTTGCTAGGTAGATGATGAGTTAATGTTCTTTAGTGTGCATGTTTACCAAGAAGGGTAGTAGTGTTATAATCATCTTCCCTGATTACTAAATTAAGAATCGGCTTAATAGCACACCGGGCATAGCCAGAGATGCTGTGTCTCCCAGAAAATCTCTTAAGGTGTAGATGACAATCGTTCCCATAACACACTGATTATGTGTACATATATCATTTTCTTCTCATATGTATCTCCTTGCAGGATCCAAACCTAATTCCTCATTTACATATTCTTACACATTATTTCATCTAAACTCATCTGAATGAAGAAGTTACCTTCTACTCAAAGCTAGCCTAAATGAAATCTCTGTACATGTTTAGAACTTCCACTCCACCCTCTGTACTCCACCAGGGTGTCTTGAAACTGGGGATTGGGGGGGGGGGGGGCGGTGGTTGATTTAGCTTGTAACTGACAAATAGCTGTAGATCATTGTCACAAGCTTTTGATGGCAGACAGACGATCACTCTCCATTGAACTGTCACTGTGGAACTTATTTCAGCTTTACATCAAATATTTCAGGTTTACATCAAATATTTCAGGTTTACATCAAGTATTTCAACTCTAAATCAAGTATTTCAGCTTTACACCAAGTATTTCAGCGTTACACCAAGTATTTCAGCTTTACACCAAGTATTTTAGCTTTACCTCAAGTATTTCAGCTTTACACCAAGTATTTCAGCTTTACACCAAGTATTTCAGCTTTACATCAGGTATTCTCATGAAGAATTTTACACAGAGAGGGAATTTTATCCTATTTTTAGAGTGCGATGGCTAGTGTGGCTAGCGAGAAAAGCCTACCACCATTAGAGCATGGGAATTCAGGACCATTGTTGTCATCATATGTTTTTAGTGTTCTTCTTTTCAAATGCACAGCTCTCAACCCTACCTGTAATCATGTTTTTTCCCTTACTGATTTCCCTCCCCCATGCAACACAGACCTTGGCATTTGTTTCCATTAATCTATCTCAATACCTGTATCATTCATGTCTTGTTTGCACAGATCTTTATATCAAGGTAGAGGCTGACCTTAACATCTCCTACCCATCTGTAATTCACCATAGAAGATTTCCTCTATTATCTACCATGAACCACCCTAGACTTTTGGCTCAGCATGCAAAAATCTAGTTAGTAACAAAACAAAAAAACACAAGTACCCTTTTCACGCTAGTGGCACAACAGGCATACAATACTGGTCTCATATTATTAAGACTAACTGGCAGTCGATGGGGGATGTCCTCAACAGTATGCCAGCCACCTTTATTTCCCAGGACTTTACTTGGTACTCTGGGGGTGGGATGGGGGGGGGGGGGCTGCTTGGTCTCAGGGCATGGTGTCCGCCTCGAGTGATGGAGGTTCCGCGTTCAATCCCCGTAAGGGCTAGGATTTTTTCAAGTGGACTTGGACTTCTAGTAATTCACCCTGGTCTCTGGGTAATGAGATCAGATGCCTGTGTGCATTGTTGCACATGTAAAAAATCGCTTGGTAGTTGGAAATCACAAAGAGTAGCCTAATGGCCCTGCCCAGGCAAAATTTTGAGTTGAAAATTTACACAAAGTATTTCAGGATCCTCGCCGGTGCTACAGAGCCTGTGCACTGTGCTGAGCTTCTTCAGACTCAGACTTGAGAAGAAGAATGGAGCATTTATGGGTTACTACCAGTGTGCCATAATGTTGGTCCGTTGTTCAAACTTCAAACTACTTGGTACTCATTTTAGGCTAGGTTATTTATCTTCTACTGAAATACTTTTACATCCCCTTGTGGGTTACATTCCAGGGACACCTTTGAAGGAACAAAAATAGATTCACTTGTCCCTAACAGACGTGTCACAAGAGCTGAATAATAAAAGATTTGTTTCTTCAAAGTCGGAGTTCATCTGCCTGAGAGACAGGTACTTATAGTCTGCATACATATATGCCAGATCTGCAGAATCGATGTGCATACAAAACTCAGTTTCTGGAACACGACTTAAGTCCAGAAGTGGATGAACAACCTGAATTTTCTGCTTGAGTTTACAGCTGGTAAATGCGAAGAAGGAATACTTTCTTACTGTCATTGATCTTTGCAAGAAATAATGCAATTTTTGCATTCACAAACAGAAAAAAAACTAATGTAGATGTGTTCTCTATTAAATATGTGCTGAATTGATTATGTCTGAAATGTTACAATAAAGAGGTATTGTTTAACTGCCAATGTTTGTCTTCATGCAGGGTCAAGTTTTTATAGCAAAACAACTAGACAGAGAACAGCGTTCATCCTTTTCTCTTGCTGTTGTAGCAACAGATAATCCATCAGCTGCTTTTTATCAACGGAGGAGGTCAACACTTCGTATTGAAGTTTTTGTCCTTGATGTCAATGATCATAAACCTGTCTGGACACAGTTGATTCCTTATATCAGCATTCTGAAGAGCACCAAGCTAGGGACTAATATCACAGAGCTGAGGGCGACTGACTTAGATGAAGGGTTAAATGCTGAGGTTAGAAAATTATATATATATATATATATATATATATATATATATATATATATATATATATATATATATATATATATATATATATATATATATATATATATATATACACACACCCACAAACACACATAAATTACAGAAGTTGTAATGCGCTGTGCCATCTGTCTGTACCTCTTTTCATAGAAATCAAAATATAATACTGTGGATTGCTGTGGATTGACCTGTTGAAAACACACACAAAAATTTACAACTGATTCCATGAAAATATTAGCTCTTTTAGTACCAAAGAGGTGTTACGTCAACACTTTCTAACTCAGAGTTGATCTGTTTTAGAGCAACAGTTTTTGAGTCTCAGTGAAATAAACTGTAGATATAAAGATTAGGTTTATAATAGCCATTGTTATGGTTTGCAGGGGACTGACTTACGTAGGATATCCAATTTTCAGCTCAAAATATTGGGAATAAAATAGATTGAACATGAGAGAAATGGAAACTACATCAGAAAATACTTACATTTTAGCTGTCAATTATTCAAAATGTATCCACACACACACAAAAATTTGAATAATATCCCCACATACTTCAAGTATCCTAATATCCAATATGTGGGTATATGAAACCAACCACTCAACCTTTCACCTATTGTATACAATAATTTAATAAGCTAAAAAAAATTAGTGAGTGAACTTAGCCAGCTTTCTTTTTTTGGATGATTTATCCAGTAGGGATATTTAACTCTTTGAGTCCCAGAGGATTTAGCAGTACATGCCCAAGGCATAGTCTAAAAAGACTTAAAATCGGCGTATCATGTGTTCATTGGGCTTCTAGGCAGTAACCTTTGAACGTATGATGCGTTCCTTGGGACTCAAAGAGATAATTTTACACTTCTATATAGTTTAAAAAAAAAAGAAAACATCTGAAAGAGAGTTGAGTGCTTTGGAAGCAATGTTTACTTTAGAACAACCTTTACCACAGAGCTATTTCGTCATTGTAATATACCTGTAAACCGCATGAAACAATAGGTATAAGCAATTTTTGTGTGAAGTTTGCAGGCTAGAAATCTTGTTTCCAGCTCAGCTGATATAAGCTTCTGCGTAGCTGCATATGCTACAAAAGTTAATACAGTTATAAACTTTGAAGGCTATTTCAAACCTTCACTGTCAAGCAGCTGTATGCTGTCTATGGACATGGCACCTGAGTCAACATCACTGAATTTTTGGTTATTCAGCTTCATCATCATCAGCAGGTGCCTTGCCGACTGGCGTGGGCAATCATGCCTCTCCATAATCTGCGATCTCCTGCAGCATGTATCAGTTTATGTGCTGACACACCTCCATGCCATGCAACAAGACTGTCAAGCATCTTCTCTCGTTGTTTTCCTCTATCTCTCCTTCCACATATCTTTCCAGTGGTCACAACATGTTCTATTTTCCCTCTTCTCATAACGGCCGAAAAATGATTGTCTCCTTCTGATGTCTGTGATAAGTTGTCTTTGGGCTCCCGCCTCTTTCAAAACCTCTTGGTTGCTCTTTTTGGCTGTCCAAGGTATTCTAAGCATTCTTCTGTAAAACCACATCTCCGAAACCTCCAGAAATTGTTTGGCCTGCCTACCGATTGTCCAGGATTCACAGCCATATGTTAAAACTGGATGTATGTAGCAAGCAAGAATTCTTTTTCTAACTCTCAATGACAAGGATATATTGCTCAAGATGTTTTTCATTTTATAAAATGCAGTTTTTGCCTGTCCTATTCTGTTTCTTATCTCAGTTATGCATCTTCCATCCGATGTTATCCATGTGCCCAGATAATTAATTTTCTGTACTTGTCCTAAAATAATACCATCAACTTTTATTACACATTTAGGAATAATTTGTTTCTTTGATACCACCATTACTTCTGTCTTCCCATTATTCAAACTGAGGCCCATTCTTCCACTTTCTAACACCACAGTGTCTATCATTTCCTGTAGTTCTTTCTGACTTGTTGCTATCAAGACTGTGTCATCAGCATAACGTAAATTGTTTATATTGTGCCCACCAACCACAATTCCGGGCATACCAATTAAAGCTCTCATTATATATTCACTGTATATTGAAAACAAATCAGGTGACAGTACACATCCTTGTCGTACGCCCCTCTTTATGCTTTGAAATGTACCTAAACAGTTGTTAATTCTTATAGCTGCTGTTTGCTGCCAATACATATTCTTTATTATTCGTAGATCTTTCCCATCAATATTTAATTTTTTTTAACAGTTTGATTACTTCTTCATGCTTCACACAGTCAAATGCTTTTGTATAGTCTATGAAGCATATGTAAAAATCAGTCTTTACTTCTATAGCTCTTTCTGACAATGTCTTTAGGATGTATATGGCATTGTTTGTACCTTTTCCTTCTACAAATCCACATTGTTCATTGCTGATTTCTGGTTTAATTTTGTTTCTGTCTTATTCTTCTCATAATTATTCTCAGTAAAATCTTAGTCATGTGACTCATAAGACTTATTGTGCGATGGTCTTCACATTTTATAGTGCCTGGTTTCTTAGGCAGAGCTATAAATATGGATTTTAAAAGGTCATTTGGAATATACCCACTATTATAAATATCATTTAAAAGTTTAGTTATTATTTCAATTCCAAAATCTCCCTGTGCTTTGATTTCTTCCAGTGAGATGTTGTCTGGCCTGGGTGCTTTTCCTTTCTTCATATGATGTATTGCATCCTCAACTTCTGCAGTCATTATTGGTGGACCATCATTGTTGGTCTGCCACTCTATTATCGTCATACAATTCCCCTATATACTCTGTCCATCTGTTAATTATATTACTTTGTCCCATTAATAAGTCACCATCTTTTGATTTCAAACATCCAGTGCTGTTACGTGTCATCTTTCCTGTTAACATATTTATCTGTTAGTATTCAGCTTACTAGAGACAAATCCAGCAATATACACCAGTGACTCATATGAACCTTCTGAAACCAATAATCACAGTCAGTAATATCAGACATAAGAATTTCAGCCATCTTTCTCTTAACTGAGCATCCAAAGGAAATTGAAACATACTCACATATCTATTTGAAGTATCATAATTCGACCTACACTCAGGTACACAACATTTCCCAAGCATAGTTAATAACACTTAAAACTTCACAACAGCCTATTTTGAAAATGTAAATATAAATCAAGGTAACTACACATGTAAAAATCCCAGTTCCGCTATTCACTTCACTCTGAAAAACTACATACATAATGTTTTAGCTGAGTAGAACTACTACTTGGCCCATCTAAAGTAGGTCATATGTGTTTTGAATGATTCTCTGATAATGATCTGATGGGCTGAGGTAGGCTCATTACACTGACAGTGGAATGAGTCACTGCAAAACTGTACTGTGCATGGAGTTACCTTCATTTGAAATTGCTTACATCTTTGTCCCAGGTGTTGGCAGGGAAAGACTGGCCAACTCGGCCATAGCTGCAGATTACCTTTCTGTGGATTGCATGGACATTATTAATGCCTTTAGAGATAGAATGGTCAGTAGAATGTGAGAATTGGTAGTAAAGATCTGCATAGAAAGGGACAGTAAGCATACTGGACATACAAGAAGTCTTGTCAGCCAGCATAGGACTCACTATTAACAATGGGTCACTGATGTAAATGTTAAAAAAAGGTGGGGGAGGGGAGAGGGTCTGTGCACCTATGGATGTGTCCAGACTGCTGTAAGAAAACAAAACCTATTCATAACTCATATAGAGCCAATTTGGCAGAAATCCCATTGGTTCATTGCTAATCTCTGGAATTTGTGCTTCCATTTTAGTCCTTATAATCCTTATCCAGAAAGACTAGGCATCTAATAGACTACCTTAGGATTAGAATCTACAGGTTCTTTATTATTTAGATTTATAATAGATATGAAATCAAACATTTCAACTATTTAAAATAATCTTTAGTGTAGACCTGTATAAATTATTATTTCGTTTACAGATTGTTTATTCCATTTCTCCGGGAACTAATGGTTCTGAGCTGTTTGATGTAACCAACAGCAGTGAAGCAGCAGTCATATCAGTGAGACAGTCCTTGATCAGTCATGTTGGACTGCATATTGTGCAGGTGATGGCTATGGACAGGGGGACCCCACCACTGAATGCCACAGTAGACTTATCCGTATTTGTGATTGATGAGAATCTTAACAAGCCTGTGTTTGTACAACCAAATCAGACAGAGGCTGATGAGGAGGCTGGAGTTTTACCAGAGATAGAGGTGGATGAGGTATGAACTATGTCATACCCACTTATGGACACTCAGTTATGCACAAACACACACATCAACACAGCTCTGAACATCCAAACAGTTAACCATACACACACTCACACCACATTAACCTTCATATACATCCCCACAAACCCGCTCATACACCTATTTCCCACCCCACATCTACCCTCACACACACCTACCAACTCTCATATCAAGCCAACATGACATTTCCACTCTCACACACATCCCTAGATACATCTCCTGCACTCACCTACACAACATATATCTCCATACCCACACACAGACACACACACACTGACACACCTCATATCCAAACACACATTCACACACACACACACACATACATACACCTATTCCACATTTACTCCACACACCCATCCCCACACACCCACCCTTACACCTACCTCACACATCACAACCACCCACACTCACCTACTCTTACACCCACACTCTATTCCCACATCCACTTCCACACACATCTCTATATACACTTCTTTGCACTCATCTACACAGCATGTCCTCTCATCCACACAGACACACACACATTACCACAGTCATACACCCCCATACAGACAGACACACACCCCCCACCATTCCCTCACAAGATCTGCTCAGTCACAATGTATTTAACTAATTCAGTCCCTAACAGGTGAAACTTTAATTCCTTCTAGTTAATAAAGCTGCTGCTTTAAATTGTTAAGATAGGCTTTGAAGACGATCTAACAGTCCTTAAGGAATCAAATAGGGGCTTTTGAGCTAAAATGCTAGGCGAAGATTCTCAGAATACAATGCACAAAGAAGAGAAATACCCACATCCTAAAAGATTTGAACCTCAAAGAAGATTGACAGGTAAACAGCATCTTGTCTTGGAAACTGAATTATTTTGGCCACATCAAGCAACATGTTGGAGTGAAAAACAAAGTAACACAAGGCATGGTACCAGGAAGGAGGGGCAGAGGTCAAACAGCATGAAGATGGGCACAGAATGTATATGACACCTTGGGTAGGAAAGTACATGCGGCGGGATAGCTTGTGAGAGACTGAGTTTCTTTCAGGCAGACTATGATGAGAGCAACATTCTGTAAAAGGACCTGTTGCATGATGATGGGCTCTGAAAGGTTAAATAATGACACTACCATGACAGGAGGATTCTAGCTTGTAACAGCTGAGGTAGAATGGGTTCATGTAACAAATAGGTGAGATAGAAGGGGTTAAGATGAATGTATCATGTAGCAGCCATCCCAGGGTACCTTTACTAACTGTTACCATAAACAGGTTGATTATAATATCTTCTATGCTGGTCTTGAAGATAGTATAGACATGTTTTGCAGATTTTTCTTGCATATCATGTAGTAGGGTTAGCATAATAGAATTGCTGGTGTCCACCAGTTTACTTCATACACGTTTTTTTTTTTCAACAGCTTTGTCCCTGCTCCCTCTCTTGTATTAGTGCATTATTTTCTATGTGGTCCACTGGCTCATTACCTTTCACACCAGCATACCTAGGTGTGTAGATTATGGTGAGGGAAGTGAAGTGAGACTTCCATTTGCTTGCCACTCATTCTGAAAATACTGAAAACCCGTACCTGGACAGAATGATGCAATCTGGACTCTAAGCACTACTTGAGACCCGGGGGAAAGACAAGACAAGTAGTTAACCAGATAACAATAAGTGCCATCAGTATGGAAACACTTCATTGATAATTGAGGAGGGAGACAGAGCTAATATAGCTAGTCCTGAATTCTGTGATGTCAAATATTTACCCAGATGAACTCAGATGCTACCCATTCAGAGCAGAGACAGCCTCTTGCAGTTCTCTGAAGCATCTTCATAGGATCTTCTTCTTCTTCTTTTTAGTGTTCACCAGCTGTAAACTCTGGCGGAAAGTTCTGGTTGTTCATCCACTTCTGGACTGCAGTCCTGTTCCAGAACCTGAGTGTGTGTGTGCATGTTTATATGATTATGCTGTTTTCTCTATAGATATAAATTAAAGCAGTATTTATTACTTTTAACATTAACAGCACATGATTTATAATTATCATCAGGAATCAAGATAAAAGGTGTTTTTGCATCTTTTTATCATATCTTTTTATCTTTTCATTTTCATGTAATCTAGGAACAGTCTGTTGGATCTGTCCTGTATACACTGCTAGCCAAGGACAGTGACACAGGCCAGAATGGAGTAGTGCTTTATCGCCTGAATCCTACAACCTATAAAGATAATGAATACTTTAAAGTGGCCATGCTTAACGGGACACTGCAATCAGCTCGTGAATTAGACAGAGAAACCAAAGAAGTTTATGAGGTTTGGCATGTTTTTTTTATTGAGCATAATGATAAAAAAAAAAAAAAAAAAGTGGTGGTAAAAACATTGCATGGTGTAAATGAAAATTCTAAAGTGTCTTTTGTCACAACAAATTATGAAGTATTCTAAGCGCTTATGGACAACTGAAAAAATATAGTAAGAAACGGATGAGTTTAGTCAAGAACTTTCATCACAGCACTTAGGACATTCAAATACCCACTCTGTTCTCACCTTCAGCTGCAAGCAAAGAGTTCCATTTCTGATGGTGTCAGAAGCAGTTTAAAGATATGTCCTTACCTTTTCTTAAAGTGTTTAAAATCCCCTGGGTTACTACCCCTACACCATAGTTGCCAGGTGCTACATTTTACACCTGACTTTCCTGGTTTTCTCCATTTCCTCGTCTTGTCCTCTTCGTTGTCTCTTCATTAATGGCTAAAGATAACATCAAGCTCAGATAAAGATGCTAACAGGCAAACTGCAGGATATCTTAATCAACCTTATTCTGCTTCAGTTGTTATTTATTTAATTTTGATCAAAAGTGTGTTCCTTTAACTCTTACAGCTCAAGAAGAGCCACCATGGTATAGCAGCTAGATGCTCGCTTGAAGATTGGAAGATTGTGGGTTTTTCACAAATTGACCTTGGTTCCCAAGTCGACCCAGCCTGAAATGGGTACCAGGTACACTCCTGGAGAGAAAAGATGGCCGGTATGATGTTGACCATATCACCCATTAGATGCTGATTGGTCTATAAAATATAGGTCAGGCCCTATATTCCCAATACATCTAAAGGTGTGGAAAACGTTTCTTGTCAGCCCAAGGATAATTTCAAAGAAGTAAAATAACCACATTAGAAAAATCATAATCCTTTTTTGTGTGTCACAGGTGCAATGGGCTTATGGTGCTAACCCCATGCTATTGTAGATAAAATATAAAGTCGTCACATTGTGGGATGCAATTTTTTGTTGTTTGAAACCCCACCTTGGCTTCTGCCGGAGGCCCTGAATATAGTCGGGCCATAAATATGGCCTAGGCCATAGATATGGCCAAACGGCTGAAAGGATATTCTGGGACCTCTCCACTAATGATCCTCATCCATATGGTGGCACTTTGTTTCACCGGTTGTTTATCTCTTGTGTGATGTCCTGATGGGGTACAACTACCTACCTACCTGCTTTTATAGATTACCTGGCACTTGATGGTAATGAGGTCATTACACTGAGTTCCTTTACTTCCTAGATGGTAAGTGGTCAATGTACTGACTACCTTTACTTTCCATGACATGTCCTTGGGTCCCTTTTAAGCTGGGTCAACCTGGATGTCCAGTTTAATTATTAAAAACAATAAATCTGAATCCTTACAGATTTGATCCCATAAACTGTGGATCAGCAGATAAGCCCCTAGCCTTTGCACTGATGCTGCTCCTACAGCTGAAGTCAGTCAGTCAGTGGCATGTATTTTGCAGAACCAGGCTCCTATAATAACCCTCCAGAAAACTTCTTGATCAAAGGAAAGATGTCCTGTACCTGATACACCTATCTGGAGATCATCTGCCACATCCTGCATCCATCGTCTCTTTGGCCTTTCCTTTTCCTGTCTTCCCAGGCATATACCAGTCCATTATTGTTCTCTCTAAACTTTCATGTTTCGAGTGACAAAAATATTTAGGTTTTCTGTGTTTTATCATCTTTAATAGCCAACCTTCCTCAATATTCAGTTCTCGAAGTATGGATGCATTGCTTCTTTTCTTTACACATGATATTCTTAGAACCCATCTACAACATTTGCATTCAAAGGTATTTATGTGCTGTTCAGCTTTTTTAATAAGTGTCCAGGTCTTACAGGCGTATGTCGCAATGGGAAAGATCCGTGCTCTTAAAAATAAAATGTTTGTTGTTCTGCCTCTCCCACTCCATAATTTATTCAGTTGTTTTAATCTCTGAAGAGCAACTGATAGTCATGTTTAATTTCTTTCACTGTGTCACCATTGACACAGCATCAGTGACGCAAGATATTGAAAAGTTTTCACAACCTCTAATCTTTCCTCATTTATATATAGGCCTATTTCTTTCTCCATAGTAGTTTTATCTTTATTACAGTAGAAGTGGCCTTCAGGAAAGATATACAGGGTCATCGAGACTGATTGCCACAATTTTAAAATGATAATATTGTAAAAAATATTATTAGATGGATGTAGACATGTGGCATCTTAAATCTTTTTGTCCCAAGGAATACATCATACGTTCATGGCTTCCTACCTAGAAGCCCAATGAACACATGATGCACCGATTTTATGACTTTATTTACTCTCCCCTGGGCCCGTGATGCTAAACCCCCTGGGACTCAAAGAGTTGAAATGTTCAGGAATGAGTAAAATTTTGAGTGAACCTATGTGACCATGAGGCTTAAAATGTTGATGGGAAGATAAGGAAATTCTAGCACCTAAAAGAAAGGGTCATTGCAATTGTAACCAGTACACAATTCTGAAGATGTGGCAGGAGATTGACTACCATCTAGATGTCACCAGAACTACAATGGTGCCCATACTGCACTAAGGTAAATCTAAAACGGTACACTTTTATGAACATTTCAAATCACCACACTTGTATGTCCATTAAATAATGCTTTTATAATGTTTAAAATGAATCTGGATGACCTGTATTTCTTTAGTAATACAAGAGCACACTACATGGGGACTGGAATTCTAGGGAAAGAACCAGTTAAACATTCACCTTATGTTGGTACTGGAAAAAGTTAAAACAATACAGAACCTAAAGGTGTTTGTGATAAATGAAACGGTCAGTGAACTTACAATGAGTTGCCATGTCAGGAAAGAGATACACTGTTATCAAGATATTTATCAGTCAGTTACCATGCACTGTTATCAGGATACTTATCAGTCAGGTACCATACAGTGTTATCAGGATGCTTATCATTTAGGTACCACACCCTGTTATCAGGATATTTATCGGTCAGCTGTTATCATACTGTTATCACAATGCTTATCAATTGGGTACCACACACTGTTATCAGGATGCAAATCAATTAGGTACCACACTCTGTTATCAGGATATTGGTCAGTCAGGTACCACACATTGTTATCAGGATACTAATCAATAAAGTTCTACATGCTGTTATCATGATACTTATCAGTTAGGTACCACACACTGTTGTCAGGATGCTTATCAGTTAGGTACTGCACACTTTTATCAGGATATTTATCAATTAGGTACCACCCACTGTTATCAGGATACTAATTAATTAGGTACCACACACTGTTATCAGGATGCTTATCAGTAGGTACCACACACTGTTATCAGGATACTTATTAATTAGGTACCTCACACTGTTATCAAGATACTTATCAATCAGGTACCTCACATTGTTATCAGGATACTTATCAATTCGGTACTACTTACTCTTATCAGGATACTTATCAATTCGGTACTACTTACTCTTATCAGGATACTTATAAATTAGGTACCACACACTGTTATCAGGATACTTATCAATTAGGTACCACACACTGTTATCAGGATGCTTACATACACTACTATCTGGATACTTATCAATTAGGTACCACATACTTTTATCAGGATACTTATCAATTAGGTACCACACACTGTTATCAGGATACTTATCAATTAGGTACCACACACTGTTATCAGGATGCTTACATACACTACTATCTGGATACTTATCAATTAGGTACCACACACTGTTATCAGGATGCTTATCATTTAGGTACCACACTGTTATCATTATACTTATTAATTAGGTACCACACATAGGTACCACACACTGTTATCAGGATGTTTATCAATTAGGTACCACACACTGTTATCAGGATGCTTCTCAATTAGGTACCACACACTGTTATCAGGATACTTATCAATTAGGTACCACACATTCTTATCAGATACTTATCAGTCAGGTACCATGCACTGTTGTCAGGATACTTATTAATTAAATTCCCTACAATGTTATCAGGATAATCATTAGGTACCATATAACTCCCTAAATATTTATATCACAAAAAGCAACTAATTAGAGATATTACCTCCAAAGTCAGAGGGCATCTGCCTGAGAGGTACCAACAGTCTGCATACATTTAAACTAGATCTGTAAAACAGATGTGCATGCATAATTCATGTTCTGGAACAAAACTAAAGCCCAGAAATTGACAAAACTGCCAAAAATGTTTGCTAGAGTTTACAGCCAGTGAAAACTAAGAAGAAGAACCGTATTTACAGAATTCAGTTTCTTAAGTTTCAAGCCTGAGTTAATAATGGTCTTTGCACATTACAATGTAATTATCAAGCAGTGTAAATGTATTCTAAATGTGAAATCTAATTATTCACATTTGCCCTCTATTATCACTGACAGATTCAGGTGAGAGCAGAAGACAATGGCCAGCCTGTCTCACTATCAACAGCAATGACAATGAGAGTGAGACTGTTGGACATTAATGACAATGAGCCTAGTTATGTGAATGTCAAGATGCCTCAAGTTTTACATGTGATAGAAGAAAACAGTCATGCCTACATTGGGCAGATACACCCAGCTTTTGATGCAGACCTATACCCTAATAATGTATCATGTTATTATTTATATGGTATGTACTTTTAAACACAATATTTATCATCTAAACAAAAGTATAAGTAAAAGTATTGTTTCAAAAATCATGTATATCTGTATATCTTCAGTTTGTAAATCAAAAGTTAGTGGTATTTAATGTGGCTGATGTATTTCAGTTCAAGAAGAACTATACTGTTTGGGTCATTCCCTCAGATTTTGAGATTTTCAAGCATGTCATAATTTTTCATTTTCTTGGTACATTACCTTATAAGAGATTGCGTGTAGCAATTAGTTTGAAAGCATTGACTTTCTTCTTTACCCCTTTTACCCTGGGAAGCTGCAAACCCACCACTTCTGGTAAGTTCCAGTTCCCCTACAGTAAATGTTTACGAGACATATAGGAAAAACCTTTGTTGTTTTTAAGCCTGCACATCCATGAGCATGGTCTGAAAGATCCAGACAGGTTCTGTGCGAAGGCAGTGGATTGAGCCATCACAAAAATCGACTGTGCGTAATGTCATCTTTATCTTCGTTCAGGTAATGCGGGCGTAGATGGAAACAAAAGGGCTGATAAGTAGGCTGGATCTGCTATCACTGCTGAAGGTCAACCCATGGATCATGCTGATATTATTAATGCCCTCAGACAAGCAGGAAGGGTGGATGACTTTCTACATCGCTCACCAGAATGAAAGACTCTGGAGTTAAGATCGGCATAGCCGAAAGTGAGAAACACACCGAGCATACAACAAGACTAATCAGTCAACAAAGAACTGGCACTATTTTTCACAGGATGCTGGGGTTCATACTGGGAAGGATCTGAGCACCTATGGACATGTCCTGAGTGCAATGATCATATCCATCCCAACTAACTAACTAAAATACAGCATTTGGAAAAAAAAAAAAAAAGGGGGAAGGGCAGGTTTCTTGTAGACCAAATGGCTTTTTAAAAGCCTGGTTGAAGTCAAATTTTCTTGTAAGCCTCAATAATAGAGGTCACAGGGTCAAGCATGCGTCATTAAAAACATGTATTTCTTTAAAGGCCCAGGGAAATGCATTCCATATAATGCTTCAGTTTGTTCATGTTTATTGATTTATGTATCTATTTATTTCACATTTTTTAATGTAGATAAATAAATGTTGTAAAAAATTATAAATGACTTGTGTAAAATGGTTTGAGTTTTTTAAAACCATTATTTTGGGGAAATGGGTGTTCCTGGGGTGAAAGATTAGGGACTCATATTTGTATAGACCAGTTAGCCCTTGCTGGATGATCTGGTGAACATCATCATGCAGGTAGCCTTTGCTTCTCAGGACTTTAGCTGGTACATACTTTAGGGTAGGTCAACCTGTGATTTTTTTTCTTTAGTGATTGTAAAATAGTGCACTGTTTTGTCTTAGGAAAGAATATACACAAAGGAAAAAGTATTCTTGTCATAGAAACGTTTTTAACAGAAAATACAAATTCATAAATGTTTAGTTTTTTTGAAATTCGATAACTGCAGTACAAAAAGAAGATCAGCATATACAAAACTCTTTCACTTTAGAGTTCTTTGCTGATGTTGTGTTATAGGTTCTTCATACTAACCCCAACAGTATTAAACATAATTTTTTTATATGCATATAATGTCAATCAAAATATCAATTTCTTTGAAAATTTTGTCAACAGGTGGTGATATATCTGGTCTTCTTCTTGACAAATGGAATGGGAGCTTGTCTTTGACTGAGAAAGTTGACAGAGAAACAACTACTGCATTAAATGTAGTTATCAAAGCGTCAGAAAACTGCAGCATTAGCAATATTTCCAATGTTGCTGGCAAGAGCACCAAGGATAAGGCAGATTCAAGTTCAGTAAAGCCTGCACCAGATGCCTATAATGCTTCTGATACATCACTTTTATGGGTGCAGATCATGGTAGATGACATTAATGATAGTCCACCACAGTTTTTAATCCGTGACATGTCAGCAAGCGCTATTTTTGATGTTGATATAGAGACAGAAATTATATCTCTGGCGGTGAGTGATAAATGATTTTTTTTGTTTAATAAAAACTTTCAGTTAATAAATAGTGTAGATGTCACAGACCTCTGGGTGACCTTGCTGGTCCGTGGCTCGTAACTGGGCCTATGACAGACAAACTAACCTTTAACACACACTGAACCCGAACGCACACAGAGCACACACGACAATCTTTATTGTAAGTACAGGTAATACAATAGACAGTTGACTTCCCGCTGTGTGGCCACCTATTGCCTGGACCCTCTGGCCGAATGAGCTTTACAGTCGCCTCGCTCCCAGTACGTTCCACAAGCAATCTCCTGGTGTACAAACCACACGGTCACGAGATACGCTCTTACCTATTGACACACTGACCAACCAAACTGTCACAGCCTCTGTCTTAGTGCAGGGTCAGAGTGCCAAGGTTAGACATTCTCTCACAAAACATGTATAAATACTCTACACAAGAACTATCCTATTCTAACAGAACACTGTACATAAACTATGCAGTCACTAACAGAAATATCCTAACTCTAATCCTATCACTGTCTTGCTCAACGTCCTCTCTCTCTGACTGTCGCACACCAAATGTCCTGTGTTCTCTCCACCTCGTGTCTCTTGACCCCGGTCCAGCTCAGTCCCAACCGCGGTCATCGTGCTGTCGACTTATCTCCAACAACATTCACTCTTTCTTGTTCTTGCCGTGGCCAAACGCTTTATCCTAAGCGCTGGTTTCACCGTGCAATAACAGAACAGACTTGACCAGTCACGGCCCTGACCTTTGTGTCAACCCTGGGGTGTCACCTCAACATGCACACCTTACGGTGTGGTACACTGACTGTACTTATAGGGTTGTGACAGTAGAGGTATCATTGAAGCTTTCAAAATTTGCTTATGCTGTAGATATGAATAGAAGGATTGTCATAAAAGGCAAAGAAAATGAACAAAGAAGTATTACAAACACTGGGATAAATGATTAGTGAAGAGCATCACATCTAAATGAGCCATTCACAGTGCTTTTAAGATAGATGAACCATGAGATTAAACAATACAAGTCTGTGGTTAAGCACCAGCAAGGAAATCAAAATTAAAATTTCAAGAACATGCATCTTCCCTGTAGCAACACACTTTAAGAAAGAAAATAGGCTTTTGAGGTAAACTACTATAGAAAGATTAGCAGAATACCATGGACAAAGAAGAGAAGAAATACTGACATTTTAAAAGATTTGAACATCAAGAAAGATTGGCTGATAAACAGCATCTTGTCCCGGAAGCTGAAATATTTTGGTCATTTCAAGCACCATGATGGATCGGATAAAATAATAGCAGAAAGCATGGTACCAGGAAGGAGGGGGCAGGGGCTAGCCAACATGAAGTTGGGCACAGGCTATAAGTGACTCCTTGAAAATAAAAGTACACAAGGCGGGAGAGCTGGCAAGATATGGATTTTCTTTCAGGTAGACCGTAAAGAGAGCGAGATTCTGCAAAGAACCTACTACATGATGATGAATCATTTACAGTCTTTTTAAAATAGATGAACCATTCATAAGGCTTTTAAAATAGATGAACCATTCACAAGGCTTTAAAAATAGATGAACCATTCACAAGGCTTTTAAAATAGATGAACCATTTACAAGGCTTTTAAAATAGATGAACCATTTACAAGGCTTTTAAAATAGATGAACCATTTATAAGGCTTTTAAAAATAGATGAACCATTTACAAGGCTTTTAAAATAGATGAACCATTCATAAGGCTTTTAAAATAGTTAACGAATCATTGAACTCATAAAAACAGTATTTTGAACAAACTAGCATGTACTGATATGAACCATTCACAAGGCTTTTAAAATAGATGAACCATTTACAAGGCTTTTAAAAAAGATAAACCATTTACAAGTCTTTTAAAATAGATGAACCATTTACAAGGCTTTTAAAATAGATGAGTCATTCACTGTGCTTTTAAGACAGATGAGCTAATTTCAGTCCCTCTAACAATGCCATTCACCATTGTCTGATAAAACCCGGCTGAATTTTCATGAGCATAGTCATTGAGTAACATGTGTAAGCTCTAGTGTTCTAGTTAATCCATTATCTTTATTTTGAGACTGCTTTTTCTGTAACATTGGGATTGAAAGATTGAATCTGATCAAAGGCAGATGATTAAAGATTTAAAAAAAAAAATTCTCTAGTTAAAGGTTGTGCAATGAAGGTGGAGCATATAAAAGATCATCTGAACAAAATGATGTGTGAGTGCATCATAAAGACACTGGGCAGATCCCATGCAGACCGATTTCAGTCAACTATTTTGATTTGGAAAAAACTGTAATATCTGAAGAAGGTGTTGCTCCCACTGAAGTATATGCAAATGGATTTATCATTATCAAGAATCACTGGCAAGTGTCTGCTATTTCACACGGTGTCAGAGTCTCAACTTATGATGTTAACTCTTTGAGTCCCACGTGGTTTAGCATACCAGACTCAAGGGGTAGTCAAGAGAGACGTAAAATCGGTGCATCATGCGTTCTTTGGGCCCTAGGTAGGAATCTATGAACGTATGATGCGTTCTTTGGGACTCAAAGAGTTAACTTCTCTTTCATGCGAATTATTAAACATATCCAACTATTATCTTTTTTTGTATTTTTCCAGTCAGATTTCAAGTGAAAAACAATTGATACATATGTATTTTCTGATGTACACATATACTTTTTCCTAATATGACATTTGACAAGAGTATACAGTATGTATTTTTGGGGTGAAATTTTTTTTTTAATTTTAACCATCTTGTTTTCTAAGGCATAGCCTTCATTATTGAATTTGTATGTTCTATTTGACAAGTATATCTGTCAAGAATACTTTTCCATTTTATGCTGTTTGACAAAAATATCCAGTTATTTATTTCTTTGTTTTTTGTGTGTGCACTTTTTCCATACATTTTCCCTGAAAGACTACATTAAAGCATTTGTATCTTCTATTAGGCAAGCATACAGGACAAGGATACAGCTGTAAATAGCAAGAACATGTTCAGACTACTGTCATTGACACCTGTGCTAGAACCTGGAGAAAATATAGACACATCCAAACCACCATTTATTGTGTCAGAAAATGGCAGCATCACTACAAATATTCGCTTCCGATCTGACATGCTGGGGCACTTCCTTTTGAGAATTCAAGTGTTTGACACTGATGGTCTGAACGATTCAGCAAATGTCAAAGTAAGTCCTGTTATGTGATGTCTGCTGACAGAACTAATATCACATAACTCCCGTAAAACACATAGGTACAGAATAACAAGTTAAGGGCCCTTTTCCACACATTCAGGCTACTGGGCATATAGTGCTAGACCTAAGTTTAATAGACCAGTTGACATTGGTACTTGGTGGGTGATGTGGTCAGCGTTATGCCAGCTACCTTTACTTCCCAGGGCCTTACCTGCTACCTATTTAAGGCTGGTCAATCTACAACCTAGACATTTTTGGAAAAGAAAACAAAAAACTTTCGGCTCCATGATGATCTGAATCCAAATATTATAAGTCATGTGACATTTGTTTCAGTATGGTTGACTAGTTGTTATTTAATCTCCCTAGAATAAAGTAAAAGTAAAGAACCACTTATGTGACCGGTGCATCCGGTAAATGGTGATAGACCCATTTGCTTATAGAGCAATTCACATTCAATGACTGATGTGGTCAACATGCGGCCATGATTATTCTCAAGACATTTCCTGGTACTCATTTTAGGTTGTTCTGGGAGAAAGGTCAATTAAAAAAAAAAATTTTTTTTACAAAAAAAACGGCCACAATGTAGATTTGTACCCAAAACCTTTGGGTGGCAGGTAAGCATTCTACCAACACACTAAGCAGGAATCATAAACACAGTTTTGCTGGGTTAATTTTGCAGCAGATGCCAGGTTACAAATTTACCAAACACTATAGTGACTTTGGTATCAACATTCTCATAAATTAAGTGCTGGATTTCCAGAAGACGGACAAAAATTAGGCTCATTATAGAAATAGAGAGCTTGAGTGAAGTCTTACCAACAAAACAATGTTTGAATCTTCTTTTTTGTTTTGTTTGTTTTTTGTTCTTTCTCATATGTTAAACTGTTTCAGTCTTTACAAAAATGTACATTTTTGTTTTGTTCTTATTTCTGTGTTTCCTGTAACTGTATATATGTGAGTGAAGATATATAGATATATATTTATTACATTTGGCTCATTCAACAAATACTGTCTTATTTTGTCATTGATTTGTGTGCATGTAATTTTTATTTTATGACTCATCTTAGACCAAATTTCTAAACAACAAATTTTTGGGTAATGAGGTCATAAAAATTCCTGGTAATATTTTAGTCTTTAAACTGAATGTAAAAGTTACTGATCATTCTGTTCTGCAGTTGTCGGTCTTGTAGCATTCTCTCAGATTTAATCTGCTTCGTGAAAGTGTTTTAAAAATATTGTGCTTTTTCTACATCTGCTTCTCTTCCCCAGTATTTTATCCTCTACTACTCCCCTTTTTCTCATGTTTTAGACTCTGACCAGATCATGACAAGGCACTTTATTTTTTTTTTGGTTATTCAAAATTTCAAGTCTACTTTGTTCTATTATGTCTTTAGAATTTGTAACATAAAAATAATATAATTTAAAGAGGCAGCCCATCTCATGGTCTGACCTAAGTATACAACACCAAACACAAAGAAGAAGAAAAAGAACATGTTCAGTTGTCAGTGTTTCCATTGCAACTGGCTCTTGTCATAATAAACACATCTAAGACTGTTGCTGTTGTATAAACAGGTAATGAATCATTGAACTCATAAAAAAAAAAAACAGTACACTGAACAAACTGGCATGTACTGATTGGCACTCATAGATGCAAAGGAAAGAATTCAAGATAGAAAGACATGCTACATGACTATCTCTACATTTTTCCTATGTATTTGAGAGTGCCAATCAATACAAACTAGTTTGTTTATCACATTGATATATTTTAGAACATCAGTTGATACATTTATACCTGCTCTATTTTTTTCCAGGTATACATAATCTCCAACCTACAGCGTATAAAATTAGTATTTGAAAAGCTTCCCAATCAGGTAGAGGAAATGAAGAACTCTTTTATCAAGTAAGAGAACTATTGTAAAACATTCTTGTATATGTTGCTTTGTATCACATAGGGCCTACCAATCTACCAATCTTGCTTGAGGGTCTGAATTGTTCAACTCTTTTAGTCCCAGGCAGGTTTTACCTTCTTTCAGTATTTCATAACAAGTAGTTAGGACTCTATTTTTTACACCAGTGATGCATCAGACATTGAAATTACTCATATTTTTATACTTCAAACTGCTTTAAGTGCACAACGTGAACAACATCATCCTATCTCTTTTTATTTCTAGGACATTACTTGGTACCCATTTTAGGCTTTGTGGACCTGAAGAAGTAGTTAATGTATTTAATATATGTTTTGGTTCTAAAAAGATAAAATAATGAAACTATGAGGCAGATTGAGTTATAAACACAATTTGAGCAGAAATGAGCTAGTGTAGCAACTGAAGAGGCACAGAGTTAAGAAAAGTATATGTTTTTAGGAAAAGCTAACCAAATGTTTAGAGAAGAAACTAACAAATGTTTATAAGAGACGCGAATAAAATGTTTAAAGGGAAAATTAACCAAATGTTTATAGGAGAAAATAAAAAAAATGTTTATAGGAGAAACTAACCAAATGTTTATATGAGAAATTAATAAAATGTTTATAGGGAAAATTAACATAATATTTATAGGTGAAACTAACAAATTGTTTATAGAAGAAACTAACAAAATGGTTATAGAATATACTAACAAAATGTGTAACAAAAAATTAAATCAGTAGAGAAACAAGATTATTATGGCCTGGAGAGAATGAGGTACCTGGGTGTAACCAGATGGTCTGGCCGGCTCACTAAACTCAGAGGAAAGGAAAGATGGACATATAACCAGATTGTGACCCGTACCATCAGTATTGGAACTCTGCGTTGGCTGCTGAAGATGAAGACGGAGCATACATGGGAATGCCTCGAGTGCTGTGATGTCAATTCTTGACTCAGCTCAACTCAACTCAACTAACAAAATGTTTATAGGAAAAATTAACAAAATGTATATAGGAGAAACTAACAAAATGTTTATAGGAGAATCTAACAAAATGTTTATAGCGGAAACTAACAAAATGTTTATAGAGAAAATAGCACATTTTTTAGGAGAAACTAACAAAATGTTTATAGGAGAAACTAACAAATACACTTGTGCAATGCTTGACACTAAGTTAGTTAAAGACAGGGCATCTGTTTCTAACCTACAGAGTAGCGGGTCCACATACAATTTGTTTCAGAGAAACATTATTTTATATTTTGCATTCAGTGGGGAACAGTATATTATTACTATAACTACTACAAATACCGCTGATGCTACTACTACCAGATTAGCAATTTCACATCCACTGTGGGACCGTCTCAACAGTTTCACATTCAGTGTGGAACAGTCTATTACTACTACAATTTCTTCAATTTCTGTGGCTGAGAGTACTACTAGATTGACAATTTCACATTGACTGTGGAAGAATCTATTTCTGCTACTACTGCTGCAGTTACTTCTGCTGCTACTGCTACTACTAGCACTTGATCAGTAATTTTACATTCAATGTGGAATATTCTTTGACTACTACGATTACTACAATTGCTGCTACTGCTACCACTACTATACTGATAAATTCCCATGTAGTGTAGAATCCACAATTTATATCAAAGCATTATAACTCCAATGAAACATTAAGGTTTAATATGAAATTATGTATTGTGTTTTACTGACTTTTTGACTTTGCCTGACACATAGACAAATTCTTATCTCATGATGATGACATAGCAGTTGACCAAGCCTGATATAATGTGTACCGTAAAAGTGTGGACAGGCACTATTTTGACCATGCCACCCTTATACGTAAACTAAAGGACCCTTTCTTTGAATATTGTGCATATGATGCTAGACATATTTATATAGACCGATTGGTCCTAGGTGGGTTATTAGTTATCTGTTGTAGCTCCCTTTGACAGTACTGTTACTCACACTAACACTACCATTGCTGCTGCCATTTTCTTTGCTACTCCAGTAACAACTACTACTATTACAATTACTGCTACTATTATTACTACCCACAACTCCTACTACTATCAGAGTAACATAAAATCATGTGTCTTCAGGTGCCCAGGTGATGCTGATTGCTGGATAATTCTCTCAAACTCTGTTAATCAGATGTTAGCATGTCTTAGTCAATTTATGAATCTGCTGTTTCTTCTTCTTCTTATTTGCATTCACAGGCTGTAAAGTTCTGGTTGTTCATCCACTTCTGGATTGCAGTCATATTCCAGAATGTGAGTGTTGAGTGTGCATCTATTTGACAGATCTGACAAATTTTTAATGCAGACTGTAAGTTCCTTGCCTTTCAGGCACATGCACTCCGACTTTAAAGAAAGCTCCCAATTAGTCCACTCTTACAACATGCTTTTGGGTAGGCACTGGGTCTATTCTTGTTTCCCTATAATAGGTCCCCGGAACCCACATGGGGTTACTATTTATTGATCTGTGTCTTGACCTTTCCCCCTCTGTCAATCTCTGTAGCATTATTAACTATTTTTATTTCTACAATCATTACTACTAACACTACAATAACTATTACTATTACTGCTGATATTTTTACTACTAGACCAATCTTCTTCTTCTTTGATCCTTCTGTCAGAAAACTTATATCAGGAGGCCGATAGCCTTTATGAGAAAAAGCATGTTGAAGACAGAGATGCCAGGTCGACAGGCACAGAAAGTATGGGAGAATATTTTCTCACAAACATGACGTCACACATATCTTTTTGAATGTCATAATGTCAGAAAACTAGACGAGTGATACTTAATTGAATTATGAACATTTCCATGTCAATATTTTGTTGAAGATTGTGTAATCTAACATATTTTCTTCTCTTAAAAAAACAGACAGCTGTCAGATATTCTGAACCTTGACTTGATGATAGACAAAATCCAGAGTCATACAAATCCGGATGGAACTCGTGATCCTTCAAAGTAAACACAAATTTTTTTTTATAACCCCAAGTACTGATTTATGTAATTTCTCATTAGACTGTTCATTTATACAGTTTTAGTAGTATTAGTAATGGTCGCAGTGGTAATGGTACTAGAAATAGTTGTGGTGTTAGTGGTAGATGTAGGAGCAGCAATAGTAATAGTAGTAATAATAGTAGTAGTAGTAGATTTATTAAGGAACAACATATTTTATCTACACACAAGACAGAAGGTTGCTTTATGTAGCTGTTGGGTACCCCAATAAAACTGTTTCGCACAGCTGAAGAGGGTATCTCAAATCTGTTCCCACTGGAGGATTGCCTACCAAATAGTGGCTCACTAAGCCACTGGATAGAAAATTGTCAAGGTGTAAGCCTTGAGAGTGATTTTGAAAAGTACATATATTTTGTAAATAGAAGTGCTATGTTTCCCATAAGTCATGTTATTACAATCACCCTTACCAAGGTGTTATGTAAACATGAATACCTGCAAAAGTAGAGTAGACAGAGAGAATTTGGATGTTTTAAGAAACATAAGCCAGCATGCAACTCTTGAAATTATCACATGTGGTGACTTAAACTTGTGTACAATATTCTTTTATTCAGTTTCTTCTCTGACATATTTTGGGATGGGTAAATTAACAAAAATGGAAAGTAGACCTGATCAGTTTTACAAAAACACAAATCACAAGTGATAGAAGGAATGCTGCTGTTATAACATCTTCTTTAGCAAGTAAAAGCAAAATAACATTGATACACCTACTCAAGACACACGTTTTTGAGGTCTTGAGTTAGGGGTTATTAGAATATGTCATATTTCACTATCACAATTTCAAACAGATGCTACCCTCATCTCTTGAGGACTCTAGTGACTAGCAAGACCTGCCCTTGTTAAGAAAAGTCTTCCACAATTATAGCATGAGGTTTCGGGACCACTGTTGTCAACATTTGTGTTTAGTCAGTTTCTTCTCAGACGCTCAGCTTCCATCCCTTCTGCAATCATTTCTTCCTTCAATCTCATTACCTTCCTGATGTGCTCCACTCCACACAACATGGTTCATGGCATTTTGTTCCCACAAGTTCACCTTGATATCTGTATCATTCATATCCCATGTGCACACAATTTTATATCATAGTAGAAGTCAGCCTTGACATCTTCTACCCATCTGGTAAGTATGTAAAAATAAAAAAAACATTTCTTTCAGGCATATGGTGTAAGACTCATATTTTTATCGGCCTATGGGTGTTCGGAGTGTGATGCTGTTGTCAACATTATTCTAGCAACGTCTACTTCCTTGGTACCCATTTTAGGCTGGCTAAACCAGTGAGCAAAATCAGTTTTGAAATATAAAACAATCCCCTTTGATGCAGATTTGAATCCAAGGTCTTCAGGCCTGCCCTCGAGCATATAGCCACTATGCCAGGGTTATTTAGGTGCCAAAATATTGAAAGTGAAGATCATCGTGGGCCAGAGACCCAGGCTCCATCATAGAAAGATCATTATTACAACACAACTGGCAATGAATCACATGTCATTTTCTAGGTATTCGTGCCATGGTCCGCCACTTGAATGGCTCTGTACTATGCTATCACGGCTCACAAGGACTCTGATACTTACATAATACAAGATGCAGGCTACTATACATCTATGTTTGACCACTTTCCTAACATTATATTTAAGTTTAGAAGCTTGCGTGGTAGTTCAAAGGTCTTCAGTTCCACCTTATTTTTATAACTGTTTTGGCTCCTATGAGGATTCATCTAAAAAGGGTACCAGACAATGACCTTGAAAGCAGAAGTGGCTGGCATAATGTTGAACACATCACCCACTGAGTGCCATTATAATGCCATTACGGCATGTATTTACCACTTTTGCAGTGTAGGCAGGGTAGGGGTCTTTAGGCGTGATAATTTAGGGTCACATGCCTAGTGGTCATGGACTGTGAAGGTGAAGATTTTATTTTTGCCCCTGTCAGAAAAATAAAGTCCACAGCCTTACTGAAGATTTGAACCTGTGTCTTCTGCATGAGAGTCCAACATTTTTAATCACTTGGCCAGCTGCTCCACATAGAGTGCTAAATTGTCTTAATGTTGTCTGTATATACACACCTCCAGGGTTTAAATTTAACTTTAAAATCAATTGCTTCTTCATTAGCCAGGATTTTGCTTATCTTAATACTCAAACATGATACTACATGTGAAATTATATGGCTATAGTTTTTTAAACAATTATACAAACCTGGTAAAAATAAGGGCAGAAAATACATGATAAAAATGCAAACATCCATATGGTATAATTAAATATATGTAGTAAGTCGGCTCTGTGGCTAAGTCGATGTGAACGCTTCGTAATGCAGGGATGCCAGGTTCAATCCCAGCTGCGGGTCATGCGCCTTACGTTGGTTTCCACAATGGTATCAAGAAAGCCGCCCGACCAGAAAGCAATAGCAAACTACTGGACGTAAATTTGCCTAGAAAAATCACACAACAACAACAGCCCTGGCTGTTGGAGTTGGTTCTGCAATGTCCTGTAAAGGATACGCAACTAACCTGTAAGTATGTAATTAACCATTCTCATATCTTCAGTACAGCGGGTATAAAGTGCTAGACCTATGTTTCTATAGACCAGTCAGAACCAAATGGTTTTTTTGGGTCAACATCTTGCTTTCTGGGTTTACTATCCAGGACAATATCTGGCTTGATTGACCTGGGAGCCAGATCATTTGAGACAAAATCTACTTTAATACAGATTTAAAATCACTTAAAGGATGTAATAATTACAATAAAATACACATTATTTATCCAGTAGGATACCTTTGCTCTTTTCACTATCTCATTACAATTTTCCTCTAGTGCATGCTCATCTGTCACGTTCTTGTACTGTTGTATGAATTTGTAGTTCTGTTGCTGTACACAGTTGATTTCAATTTCAGAACAGATGCATACCTCAGTGGCCGATATCGTGATACAGGAAAAGTAGTACCAGCAACTACTTTGTGGCAGTGAGTCTTTCTGTTAAAATCATTAATGCTTTACTCATTTCATCACAGAAGTGTATTATAGCCCCAAAAAACAGCATATCTGTATTCTACTTTTATAGAGCCAAAGCATAAGCAAAATATACACAATGCCGAATATTGACATTGTTAGCCAGATTTCTTTCATTTTGTTTCTTATCGTTGTTTTTCTACAATGACCACAGCAAATTGTTGTAAGGAAGATATAAGAATCATCTGTGTGCTCTTTCTATGTGAGAGGAAGTTGGACTTCATTTTGATATTGCTTTTAATGCTATTGTTCTGTATTTTTTCTGTGTGGTCTCCCACTTGTTCTGTGATAAAATTTCTTCTGTTCTGCTGGCAGACTTCCAATCCGTGTCATCTGTTAATGAAAATCGTATGACCTCAGATTTCTTCTTCTGAATTCACTCTTAAAACGTGGTTGGAACCTGATTTTGTGGTTTACAAGGTTGTGTTTCTTTACTATGTTCACACTATTAATACAGCATTTATCTTTTTAAACCCATTAAAAGTTAATCACAAAGGGAGCAATGCTTATGTCAGAAAAAGTTAATTTATATAAGTGTAACCAACCTTGCTTGTTTTGGTTTTACTTTATTACAGCAGTTTGTTAAAATTAAAAGGTTACGTATAACTAGGAAATTTAGTATCCTAAGAGGAATCTCTGAAACCAACAGAGATACAAACATCAGAAAATAAAGAGTTAGAATAAACAATTACATTCATAATCTGCTTAAATTGCCAGTAACTAATGGCAATATGAGGGATAATAGACTACAATGGTTAGGGCATACAAAGAGAATGCCAGATAACAAACAAAAAGTACATGCACAGAAGAACTGAAAGGAAGTAGATCTTGTGGCAGACCAACAAGACAGTGGAGAGATAATATTCAGGTAGATTTTCAAACATTTGGAGCCACAGATCAGGTGATACCTATAGCATTGAACCCCCAAGGGTTCAGAATGCTGAAGGAGAAGAAGACTGTATTTAAAATTAATATGAACTTTTTCAGATCCAGCAGTTTTCTTAGCAGCAAAAATTACTGATAAGAACAATCTAGAGTTATACCCCATACTCATATAGGACTGCATGTTACATAAGTTTACTACTTGATGTAGCTATTGCTGGTGCTATAATTATAGCTTTCTTGGAGGCTGAATGGGGTATTTGCAATTTTTCCCTGCTGGAGTGACATCCAGAATGTGAATCTTTCATTAGAAGGAGTGTGAAATGCTCAGTGAAAGGAGCAGGTAGCGGCTCAGAGTGAAAAATGCTCAGTCAGTCAGTTCATCGTCATCATCATAATAAACCACTTCTGCTGTTAAGTGTTGTGGGAAGGAATAATTTGCGATCCAGTGCACATTGGCTGCCACTGGTTATTGTCAGGTGGTGAAGGCGTAGAGTGTCTTAATTTTGTTGATCCATCTTTTCTATGGCCGTCCTCTTTCTCTTGTAGCTGATCTTCTGAGATGTAGGGCTTGTGATGGTGTTTGATCCTGCTGCTTTCTAATGAGACGGCCAAACCTCTGGATCTGCTATTTCTCAAAGAATCTAGTGCAAGGTGTCATTCCCACAGTTTGATAGTATCAAATTCACTCGATCTTAGATGGTTAGTTTGACTGATTTTCTCAGGCATCTTATCTCGCAGGTGGTGATTTTGCGTATATGGGCTTAAGTTAGTGTCCATATCTGGCACTGGCAGCTTGATGTTGGAATGAAAATACTGTTTATAATCTGTTTCTTTGACCTCATAGTTATGCTTGGATGTCTTAATAATGGTGACAATTGGTATAACTTGCTTTCTGACATCTGATTTCTATTTCTGTGTCAATTCTACCATCTTCAGTCAGTTAATTAGTTTTAATGAGAGTGGGAGATGTAGTAGCTACATGCTTGCCTGCTAAGCCTGAAAGAGTTGGGTTCAAATCCTCAGTGAGTCTGTTTTTTTCCCTCTAAAAAAATTACCATGGCTCCCAGGTCAGCATAGCTTACAATAGGTACCAAATCATAGGAAGTATTGATGGCAGGTGTGATGTTTACCACATCTTCATTCGAGTGCCGATTGGTTAAACAGCCCACATGCTACGGTCATGAAAAAAAGTCCCTCACATACTTCAAACACAATGGAAATGACCATTAGGGAAGTCAGATTTATTTAGTGTATTCTAACCAAATTCTAAAATGTTAGAGAACACATTACCATTATCTCACATAATGAAAACAACATGTAAAGGACCTTTTCTAAGGTCAGTGGCAAATTTTGGCGTATGATGTGGAACAGCTAGCATTTGGTAGATCACGTAGTCAACATCATACTGGCTGCCTTTACTTTCCATGACATTACATGGTGTTTACTTCAGGCTTAGTCAGCCTGGGGCCCAAAGTCAGTTATGAAGAATAATTACCACAATGGAAATTTGTACCCCAGACCCTTGGCAAGAAAAAAAAAAAAAACTCCACTATTGTGGCTCCCAGTTCATCTGGTATTGAAATACAATCTGTGACTGCCAAACCAAATAATTGATCTGTATCTTTTCTATGCAGAATGCTTGATTACAGTATGGCTGCTCGAGCTCTTTTGTATGAAAATGGTGTTGTGAAAACAGAGGTAAGCTGCTCAGTATTTTTGTTTTAGGATTTTTTTTTTTAAGAACATGACTATTATTTTTTTCTCTCTGTGATTTAGAGGTTAGTGAATGCGTTTAATAATATCATTATCCTCAAGTACCAGGGTTCTATTATCATGGTGGCTGGTAGAAAACCAAAAACACGTCATATTATCAAACAGTAGTACAAAAGTCACCCTGTGGAAGAGATCGGGACCTCGTCAAATATATTCTCAAAGACGGCAGTGAGTGTACTGTAGCCAACCTTCATCAAGGAGATGGCACAGCATAATTTTGTTTTACTTTTGAAATATCTTTTGACTAAATTATTTGATTAATTTCGTTTGTGGTATCCTTTGGAGATTACTTCTTGCACTCCAGTAAATAATATTGTAAAGATTTATGCTACTGGCATTCAATATGCTTGCTTTCTTTTAGACCAAAATATTACCTAATTTTTGAAGAATAATATATAAATATTTATAGAATTTAGAGATCTTCTTCTTCTTCTTAGTGTTCATTGGCTGTAAACTCTGGTGGAAAGTTCTAGCTGTTTGCCCACATCTAAACACTAGTTTTATTCCAGAATGTGAGTTTTGCTTGCACACCCATTTTATAGATCTGGCTTATTTGTATGCAGACTTTTAGTTCCTTGCCTCTCATCTCAGGCAGATGCACTCTGACTCTGAAGGTAACCCCTTATTAGTTGATTTTTATGATCTGCTTTTTAGGGAGGTACTGGGTCTACCCCTTCCCCCCCCCCCCCCCCATCCCTGTAAAATAGGGCCTTGGAACCCTAGCAGCTAGCACTATGTGTGTGAGCCAAAAAGTCACAGCTTATATTTTGCATGGGATCAGATTTTTTTTCTAAAGATGACCCTTGGCTTCCAGGTGAACCCACTTAAAATGGGTACCAAGTAAAGTTCTGGGAAGTAAAGGCGGTCAGCCAGATGCTGACCACAATTCTCATCAAGTTCAAATTGGTCTATAAAGTATAGTTCTAGTATTATATGCCCATATTGTTTAAGGGTGTGTAAAAAGGTCCTGTAGTTAGCTTTATTCTTCTTCTTCTTCTTATTTTTTTAACCTTTTTTTTTCTGCCTGCGTCTACCACTTTACTGCCTGTATCTACCACTTTACTGCCCGTGTCTAACACTTTACTGCCTTTATCTACCACTTTACTGCCCGTGTCTACCACTTTACTGCCTTTATCTATCACTTTACTGCCCGTGTCTAACACTTTACTGCCTGTATCTACCACTTTACTGCCCGTGTCTAACACTTTACTGCCTGTATCTATCACTTTACTGCCAGTGTCTACCACTTTACTGCCCGTGTCTACCACTTTACTGCCTGTATTTACCACTTTACTGCCTGTATCTACCACTTTACTGCCCGTGTCTACCACTTTACTGCCTGTGTCTACCACTTTACTGCCTGTGTCTACCACTTTACTGCCTGTATCTACCATTTTACTGCCTGTGTCTACCACTTTACTGCCTGTGTCTACCACTTTACTGCCTGTATCTACGACTTTACTGCACGTGTCTACCACTTTACTGCCTGTATCTACGACTTTACTGCACGTGTCTACCACTTTACTGCCTGTATCTACCATTTTACTGCCTGTGTCTTCCACTTTACTGCCTGTGTCTACCACTTTACTGCCTGTATCTACCATTTTACTGCCTGTGTCTACCACTTTACTGCCTGTGTCTACCACTTTACTGCCTGTATCTACAACTTAACTGCCTGTATCTACCATTTTATTGCCTGTATCTACCACTTAACTGCCTGTATCTACCACTTTACTGCCTGTATCTACCACTTTACTGCCTGTATCTACACTTTACTGCCTGTATCTACCACTTTACTGCCTGTATCTATGACTTTACTGCCTGTATCTACAACTTAACTGCCTGTATCTACCATTTTATTGCCTGTATCTACCACTTTACTGCCTGTATCTACCACTTTACTGCCTGTATCTACACTTTACTGCCTGTATCTACGACTTTACTGCCTGTGTCTACCACTTTACTGCCTGTATCTACCACTTTACTGCCTGTATCTACCACTTTACTGCCTGTATCTACCACTTTACTGCCTGTATCTACCACTTTACTGCCTGTATTTACCACTTTACTGCCCGTGTCTAACACTTTACTGTCTGTATCTAGCATTTTTCAAGTTTGGGAGGAACAGACAGTAAAGAACCTGAGGATTTAAGGCCATTTCTCTTGTGCAGTCACCATGAACTGTGCAGGTTAGGATTGTTAGGACTACCTATTCAAGTTAATGATAGGCTAAGACCAGAAGAACTATACTGTGTCTTTGTGGAGAGACAAGTCAAGACAAAAGAATGCAAGATAAGATCATGAAAATGATTTATAGATAATATTCCTATTGATTCAGCAGTACAGTATTTTATATGCATTGCAATCAATTATTTTATAAACTTGTATGTTACAGCCTTTGACTCAAGCGAAAGTAGACAACGAGACAGAAGAGCTCAAGAAAATATTTGCCATCCTAATCTCAGTAATGGGTGTTGCTGTTATTGTACTTTTCCTGGTTTTAATTCATTTGGTTCGTTTGTAAGTGCACACTTTTTATTATTATTATAATTATTATTAGAAAGGCAGTATGTTAACTGAACAACTTAGAAGTAGTTATTTTGATCAATCTTTCTTATGGCACAATATAAATTTTAATATGATTTCATAAAATTATATCTAACCCTCTAATAAAACCCTATATACGAGGTAATAAGAGTACATGGGCATTTACAGCTTGCTTTTCAGGCAGAACAGTTCAAGAAGCCAGCAGTGCCTTCTCCATGACTACTAGCAGCATGAGGACGGAGGTGATGGTGGTGACACAAGCTTTCATGTGGCTAGAATCACAGGACTATTCCCACGTGTGTGTGCTGAGTGATTCTTTGAGCATGATCCAGTGGGTCGAGGCCGGCTGGTTATGCAGACAGTGGTCTGAGTCATTGCAAAACTTTACTGTGTGTGCAGTTACCTTTATATTTGTCCCAGGGCATGCAGGCGTTGTTGGTAATGAAAGAGCTGATAGACTGGCAGGTGCTGCATTAATTTAAGATGGTCGGCCCATGGATCACGCAGACATTGTCATTGCCCTTAAAGAGATAGGACGTTCTGAGGATTTTGGAAGCAACGTGTCCACATCACTGCTAAGAATACGAGAATTGGGAGTTGAGGTCGGCACAGCCAAGCATGAGAAGCACACCGGACGCACATGAAGTTTTGTTAACCAACATAGGACTGGCATTATTAACAGCGCGATGCTGATAAATATTTTTAGAGGGGAATCTAAGCGCCTATAGATGTCTCTGGAGTGCTCTGAAGATAATCTAACTCATAACTCAACTCGAGAAAAACACTGAAGGCAAGTGAACAAGAATGAAACAGTGATACCAATCAACAATTAATTAATCACGAGAACTGCCCCAACTTGGCACTTCAATATCCATCAATTTTTTTGAGATACATAGATATCATCAAGATCCAACTAGCATGGGCGGTGATCATGCCTCTCTGCAATCTGTTATCTGCTGCTGCAGGTATCTGTTTGTAGGTTGACAGCACTCTATGCCATGATAAAAGGCTGTCAAGAGTCTTCTTGTGCTGTCTTCCTCTCTCTCTTTTCAGTAGATCTTTCCAATTGTCACAACATGTCTGAATACAGTTGGTTTACAAGCATGATTTACTAGAGAAAATAAAGCTGTTATTTCCCCTTGCCTTCTGCCACATTGTTGTGGTTCAACTCCAGTAGCCTTTATCTAAAGAGACATACCCTGCAAAAGCGGGGTGGGGGGGGGGGGGGAGGAGGAATTGGTTTTAAATGATGCCTCTTGGCTGCCAATGGCCATGTCACTATGTTGTTTTGAGATATTTTATAGAGCTAGCTGTCCCACTAGCTAGCTCGCCTCCTCTCAATGACCAGCACCTGTGTTGGTCTATGGCTACTTATTCAATATATTCGTGGCTAACCTCTATACCTAGAGGCTACTCCACCGTCCGCCACCCGGTGAACGTGTCTAGAAGTAGAACAGGCTCCTACCCCAGGACATAAAAATAGACAGAAAATTAAATAATTTGGTTACTTAGCAAGATATTTAGAGTCTGTCCAAAATATACATTTAAAACCCCTTTATTGCATTAACTTATAATTGTAGTAATATTGTTCCAAAATTATGGTTACAGCAGACTAAAAATATACTGATTATTAAGGATATACAGAGTATTCAGAAATATGACCTCAAAGTATAAACAGCCACACAGTTAGCCTATGGTTGTAAAATTATTCTTGTCACATTTGTTGACAGAAAGAAAATTTACTATGGTATTGTTTCCTTTGTTAGTTAGTTAGTTAGTTGGGTTATCCTCATTGCACTCCGGACATGTCCATAGGTGCTCAGATCCTCCCCTCAGTATGAACCCCAACGTCCGATGGCTAATAGTACCAGTTCTATGTTGATTGACAAGTCTTCTGGCGTGTCTGGTATGCGTCTCGTTTTTTGCTGTGCCGATCTTAATTCCCAAGTCTGCCATTCTGGCGAGTGATGTGGATTCACTGCCACCAAAGTCCTCTATCCTTCCCATTTCTCTGAGGGCATTGATAATATCAGCATGATCCATAGGCTGACCCTCGGTAGTGATAGCGGATCCAGCCAACCTGTCAGCTCTTTCATTTCCATCGACGCCTGCGTATCCCAGAACAAAAATAAAGGTGACTCCTCGCACAGTGGACTTCTGAATACTTCTGGTATTGTTTCCTTAGCACAGAAATGTTAGGTTTAAAAAAATTTTGTCAGAAAAGCTCACAGAAATACAGAATTATTAGCTTATAATCACACTCCGGAGCAAAGAAATGCACCACATTTGTGTTACTAATACACAAAGAACCAGAAGATTCAAAATGGTTAGTCATTCCCCTCGTGTGGGTTCCGGGGCCCTATTGTAGGGTAAACAAGAATAGACCCACTGCGTCCCCAAAAGCATGTCGTAAGAGTCGACTAACTGGGGAGCTTCCTTTGAAGTCGGAGTGCATCTGCCTGAGAGGCAAGGAACCAGCAGTCTGCATTCAATTGAATCAGATCTGTAAAACTGATGCATACGCAACAGTCAGGTTCTGGAGCTTGACTGCAGTCCAGAAGTGGACGAACAACCAGAACTTTACGCCAGAGTGTACAGCTGGTGAACGCGAAGAAGAAGAAGAAGTTAGTCATTCATGTTTTTACTTTGGTCACTGGTAAATTAAAAAGTGCATCTGTATCATGCATCAATTGGGAATCTGCAGTGGATATAAATTAAGGCCTAAATCAACCCCCCCCCCCCCCCCCCCCCCCCCCCCCCCCCAAGTTCATTTTGAGTACACTTAATCAAGTGCCATCTTAATTATGACTGTTGGTTATGATGAATCTTGAAAAACTTTGTCCCTCCCTCAACTGTTACACTGACAAATTGCTGTTAATCTAGCTTTGGATGATATCTTCCCACTTATATTCCTGGCTACCTCTTGCTTTGCACAAAGCTTTTTATTGAAACAGTTCTAGCACTGATAAAGTTGGAAATAATATAGAGTGGGCAGAAGGAAAATCACAGTGACTGACATGGATTTGTAGACTCTGTCTACATTAGTTATGTGATAAATGCAAAAATACGCCTTATAGAAGCATAAGTGTGTCTAGAGTGTAGCAATAACTGTTATTATAAACAATAGCAGTTTCTACTAAGTGATCTTTACTCAATCTTTCTGTAGGTATCGAAGGAGACTGAGAGCTGCAAATGTTGTTTATTGTAAGTAGTAGTTTCAGTAGTTGAAACATTGTATACTGCTAAACCAGTCTGTGTTTTATATCTAGAATGTATAGAGCTTGTTGTCTATTTCACTACTGGATATTTATGCTTGTAAATTAAGTTTTGGCCAGTTTCACTAAGTAGGCAAAAGAGACAAAAAAAGAGGACACCCCCTCCCCGCCCCTCCTTTCCAGCCCTAATTTCAGGTTACTGGTTTTATTGAAAGGGACTCTCCGTCTAAACAATAATATCTCCTCTTCCTTTCTTCTCAACACTATCCTAGTAGGCATTTGACTTTTCTCAGCTAAGGCAAGTGAGGTTATATTAACATTCATTTCATTTAACAGCTTTTGTATTTATGTATTTTAGTATAAAGCAGTCATCATCATCATGTGTACTGCCAACTGGCGTAGGCGCTCATGCATCTCCTCAGATCACGATCTCTGGTTGATTAGAACAGCTCTCTTGATGATATCCCTCCATGCCATTGTTTTAGCCCATCCAACAATATCTCTATTGGTCTGCCTCTACCCCTTTTTCCACTGATCTTTCATGTTGTCACGATGTTCTCCAATGCCTCTCTTCTCCTTATGTGGTCAAAGAACAGTGTTTGTCTCTCTCCTATTGTTATATATAGAGATCTACTTTCCTTAGCCTCTTTCAAGCAATTGTTGTTAGTTACTCTGGCCGATTAAGAAGGGTTTAAATTATTATATACAATGTTTAGTATACTAGTTACAATAGGACTTTTTCTTTACATGGAAACAAATTATTCATTTTATTTAAATTTGGTATGGGAAATTCATTTGGTATGCATCCAGTTTGGGATGTCCAAGGACCTGGATTGGATTAAACATGCATACCAAAGTATCACTGTATTTATAAGTTATAAGTTCGCCAGAATGAATATTGAAACTTAGGTAACAGACCATAAACAATAAAAGGAGCCTGCAGGTCTGAGCTAACTGGGAGCCACTCCCTAGAGAATGCAGCAGCAACAGGAGACAATTTGATTGACAGAAGAATCTTTTAGTTAACAAAGGATTGTTTTTCCCCCCTTGACACCCTGGGGATGCAGACACAGCTGCATTATCTTTTTTTGTTGTTGCTGTGGGCTGATTTTGTATGCACCTGTGATCTCAACTGTATTTTTGCGTCTGGATTTTAAATTAACTGTGATTAACACAAGAATATTTGCACTCAGACCAGCTGGTTCCAGTGTTGCCACTTTTCTTTGACAAAAACATCCAAAACGGAGTCAAACTATATCTAAACACATCTAAATTTGTGTGGAAAACATCTAGAAAAAACATCCAAATAGAAAGAGTCACAAATTACATAGCAATTGATATGACTTACCCTATAGAATTATGTCCTCATTTTTACTGAAGTCTGCCTTACAAGATCCACAGGATAAACTTAGCTTGGATGATGAGGTTGAAGCTTCAGATCCAAAATGACTCTGGTATGCTTTAGCTGTTCCAATTTCTTCTAATACCTAATCAGAGAGCTGATAAGTGGAACAGCCTTTTCCTAGTCTTATCAGGCCGAATTGTATTGCCAAGACAGCATTTAAGAGGTCTAATTTCATCCTGTTTCTTAGGTTAGATTGGATAAATTCACTCTAAATGAAAACATCTAGAAAAACATCTATCATATAAACGTCAAAAATGCATCTAAATGCAAGGGAAAACATCTAAATCTGGATGTAAAACTTCCAAGGTGGCAACACTGGTTCATTATTTTGAAGAAAGTGATATTTTTACACTGGAAGAAGAGAAGAAAGAAATAATGAAATTTATAGCTTAGAGAGCCAGGTAATTTCCTGGGAGGTAAAGTTGGCTGGCACGATATTGGCCCCATAACTCATCAGGTGTCAATAAGACTATAGAAATGTAGATCTAGGAGTATGTGCCCAATGTGCCAAAGGCATGCAAAGAGTCCTATACTTAGTACGTTAAATTTTTTTATAGCTGGTAGAATGCAGTCTTTTAGGAGCGTATTCTTTGAATCAGTTAGACCATCAGACTAAAAGATATATATATATATTTTAATACTGATGCTTTGTATAAATTTTCTATCTTGTTCGAATCCCTGTCTGGTTTTCAGCATAATGTTTTGAAGACGTTTATGGTGAGAAGCTTAGTGTGTGCAGTGTGAATGGTGCTATTCATGACCTCAGAAATTCCATCTATCACTTGTGGGGGTGACATCTAGCTCTTTTGCCATTGGATTTACAAGACTCTTTGTGGTGTACTGTCCTGTGGTAGCTTTGATAAATGTCTAAACAATTTGATCTCCTCTCTTAATCTTTTTTAGCACTCGGTCTATTCCTTCTTCTTCTTCTTTTTTTTGTTGTTGAAAATATTGTTTTGATCCATTCTCTTCTTATCATGTTCAGAAATCTAAGGCCAATCTTCACACAGAATGTTATTGGACAGTGCTGGCATGGAATTTTGGTAGCATTATTAGGGGGATTCAGTTTACTCTTTTCTAGTTTGTATTTATTAAACTGCTGTTGCAGCTCTGGTTGCCTCATACTTCCCAATGATGAGATGAGTGCTTAAATGAACAGCTGTGTAAACTGACCTCACAGGTATCAGGATCAGTTTCAGACACTTGTATGCTGTCGAGAGACAATATCGTGGATACTCTAGGAGCATAAATACAAACTGGATCTGGAAATACATGTTGGTAAAATGGATGTAGTAAATATGAATCCAACAGGGGTAACTAAACCAGACTGGTGGTCATATGTTCAAATCCTCAATGTCATTTTGAGGTGAAGAAAAAAGGATTAACCCACTGCCATATAATATGCATGAAAATAAAAAATGACTAAACAGAAGTTTGATAAAACAGATGTTTTGGGCACAAAGGTGCAAATATCACAGCCTAGCTGTGAGCCACAATACAAGGTCCCAAAATGTCATTTTAGCATTGAAAATATAAAAAGAAGAATAATAAGTTTTCAGTGAGGCAGATTTTAACAACTTACCCTGGCTGTCATGTAGCCTCAATATGGGCGACTCTCAGAAACTTTCTGGAGAGTAAAGATAGATATCTTCTTCTTCTTTTTAAACTCCATGCCATGTGGCGTTGGTAGTCATATTGATCCACAACCTTCTGACTCGAGTACTTTCAGTCAACTCTGACACAGGTGATCCTCCAAGCCATGATGTCAAACTGTTCAGCACCTTTTTTATTTCTCTTGTCTCCCTCTGCCTCTCCACCCCTCCAATTTTCCTACTGTCATGATGTACTCCAGTTTTCTCCTTCTCATCACATGACAAAAGAATATAGATTGTCTCTTTCTGATGTTGACAATCAGTTCTCTTCATTAGTTACTTTTTTTTTCAAGACAGCCTCATAACTGTTTTTTATCTGTCTGAAGTATTCTCATCAATTATTACTCACATATTACTCATCAAATATTCATAGATCTATAAAATTGAAGCTAGCAAAATATGTCTAAAACAATCACAACATGAAAACAGGTTTCTAAGTTAACAATATTTATTTATGTATATTTTTATGGCTTTTTTAAAAATAAAATACTGTATAAATTGCATGTACTTTTACTGATGTTACTCTATAAATGTTTTTTTCTCCAGCATCATCATCTAATCAAAAGGAGATCTTGGAACACCCTGGCACAAACAAGTATTTAGCAGCGTTAGTAACATTTTTGTCATTTTTTATGTTATATATATATATATATATATATATATATATATATATATATATATATATATATATATATATATATACTATATATATATATATATATATATATATATATATATATATATATATATATATATATATATATATATATATATGTGTGTGTGTGTGTGTGTGTGTGTATATGTATATATATATTTATATATAAAAGCATGTATAATAAGTGTATTTATGTATGTGTGTATGTATATATATATATATATGTATATATATATTTTTTTTTTAAATTTAGGATCAAGAAGGCAAATATCAGGGCTATTATTTAATCCAATGGTATTTGGACATTCAATTTCTTGAACAGTAAAGGACCCTGTTCCTGTTTTTGGCACAGCGTGCACATAGTGCAAAGCCTACATTTTTAATGACCAGTCAGCACTCAGCAGGTACTGTACTCAGTATCATACCAACACTGTGCTACCAGTGCCAGACTTGTACAATATCAAAGGTTAGGCTACATAAAATTAGCACTTGAAAAATGAGATGCCTAAGAAAAGCCGCCAACTCAACTATCTGCATCAAAGTTAGAAACTATATTATCAGACAGACTATACGAATAACACCATGCAGCAAATTCATTGACAAACAGAAGATCAAATTGGTTTGGTCATTTAGTAAGAATGCAGCCAGAACAACTACCAATGCAGGCACTACACATGAGAATATCTGAAGTCAAAGCAAGGGGTCGCCCTAGGGGAACCTGGATTGATGACATTAAAGAGATTCTACCTCAACACGGAATGACAATAGCCAATGCTGCCCGTCAGGCAATGGATCACACAAACATTTAACAGCAGAAGTGGAAATGGATGATGATGTTGATGATAGTGATGAAGATGATGATGATCACACAGGCTGCCTGTACTTCTCAGGACATTACCTGGTACCAATTTTAGGGTGAGTCAAACTGGGAGCAAAGGTCAGTTTAGAAAATATCTACCTTGACTCTGATTTTAATTTTAGAACTTCAGATTGACAGGCAATCATTTAGTCAATATGTTTAACTGGCTCCAATATGGCCTGTGCTAATGACAGTTGTAAGTGTTTGTTACATACAATATGTTGTGACCACTGGAAAGATCTGTGGAAGGAGAGATAGAGGAAGACAACGAGAGAAGATGCTTGACAGTCTTGTTGCATGGTATGGAGGTGTGTCAGCACACGAACTAATACATGCTGCAGGAGATCACAGATTATGGAGAGGCATGATCGCCCATGCCAGTCGGCAAGGCACCTGATGATGATGATGAAGTGTTTGTTAATTTTGTTTTATTATATGTAGTTTTCTGCATACTTGAATATGAATATTATGCAATGAACTTTTGTTTTTGACAGCCTTCTATGGTATGGAATTGTTTTAGATACATAGCTGACTTGTAGCAATATTTATTTATTTTTAATTTGTAAGAAATTTCATTGCTTATTATCTTTGAATAGGCAAAATCCACTTTTTGGAAAAGAGATCAAATCAGCTGTCATAGATGAAGATAAAGCAAGGTATATTTGGTATGGTTTCTTATTTTATGTGCTACTTATTATATGATACTTTTTTTTTTCACATCACGTGAAATGTGTGATATACATTTAACTCTGTAAGTCCCAGGGAACGCATCATGTGTCAATTTGTCACCACCCGGCGACCTAATCGACGTGTGGCAAATGAAGGTTTTTAATCTACCACTGACCCGTAATAAAACACGCACCACTCAATTTCAACTTCCTTTCGAGTTCATTGTGTCTGAAATCAGAAAAATTCTCAGAATACCAAGGATCAGGAAAAGGAAAAATATCAACATTCAGAACTAGTTGAACATGAAAGAGAACTGGCTCATAAACAGTATACTGTCCCGGAAGTTGAAGTATTTTGGCCACATCAAGCGTCATGATGGCTTGGAAAAGACAGTGATAAAGGGTGCAGTTTGTGGAAGGCGAGGCAGGGGTCAACCACCGCGAAGATGGTTACAAGACATTGAAGATGCATTGGCAGCACATGGGACCGGAGAGCTGGCTAGGGAAAGGGATACTTTTAGGCATGCTGTGAAGAGAGCGAAGTTCTGTAAAGGACTTGCTGATTGATAAAGAAGCTACAAAATTACAGGTAAATTCAATATTATATAAACTTCGTTTTGTGTGAAAATGCTTATTTTTTTGGGAGTCAGTTTTCATTACCAAACAATGGTGCTCTGTTATGATGCTTCAAAAGATTCTCTGGAACAAAATTTAATGTATAGATTGAGCTTATATTTTTTTTTTTTTTACTAATTTTTGTAAACATACCGTCAGTTTATTTACTAATATTTAATTACTAACACAATTATTTGTCGCAGCTGTATTCTATAATTATTCCGCAGCAATCCCTTGTCACTTTGATATATAATATGTTTATGTTGCACGGCAATTGAATTAGTATGGCCTGTTTTAATGTGTTGTGAAATTAAAAAAATTGCATTACCACCCCGTGGGCCTCTGATGCTAAACCCTCTGGGACTCAAAGAGTTAAGCTTGATTTCAATAAGAAATTATCATAGATAATATGTATATGCTATGTTTTCTACACATTTCAAATATTTAGGTATTTATTTCGTTGCCCTTCTATTATTCTCACACCAAACCTGGAACATCACCTTGGTAAGGAAGTATTTTGAACACAATGCTACCATCCCAATTCATTAGAAAAGGAATAAAATTAAAGATAGTTAAAGGCAAAAATATTGACTTCTTTGCACTTAACTCTTTGAGTCCCAGGGAGTTTAGCATCAGAGGCCCAAGGGGTAGTCAAAAAGAGATGTAAAATCGGTGCATCTTGCGTTTATTGGGCCTCTAGGTAGGAACCTACGAACGTATGATGCCTTCCTTGGGACTCAAAGAGTTAAGTTTATTATTTTATCCTTAGTTTCTCTCTACAGAGTGTTTTTGTTTTTGTCTAGTAAAAGTGTCACTCAAAGCATGATATTTTATAGCCCTAGTGATGATCCTTCAGAATCTCTCAAACACTTGCACTTAAGGAACAAAGTGGGAACTCAAGGGCTGAACCCATGTTTTTCAAAGCACAAGAAAGAAAATTGTAATGCACTATTACCAGACATTATGACTCACACCAAATCAGAAAAGAAAATGAGCAAACATGGAAATGAGAATGGCTGCAGGAGTAACCATAAGAGATCAAATCAAGGTCATAGAAGAAAAAAAAAAATTAAGCTCAGAACCAATTGTAAATTACAAACAACTACAGCAAATCAAATGGTTTGCCCACTTACATAGAATGCCTAGTGAAGGCATACACCAAAAGAGAGGAAGGTGGTAGAGCATGAGGCAGATTGAGAATGATAAGGAAAGATATCATCAGAGAAACTCTACAACAGCATGATGTGTCTATGGTCGAAACTGCTAAAAAGCAAAAAAAAAAAAAAAACAGAATCTTGTATCTCCCTCAACACCCGAAGCGGAAAAATAGAAATTAAAGAAGAAGAAGAGGAAGATTATTACAAATCAAACAGAATGACATCAGTAAAATGTACCTACAATTTTTACTCTTTTGTTCTAGCCACAATTCTTTGGATGTCAATGCAGTGGATAAATCACCTCCCAGAACACTACCACTTGACCTAAGTGAAGAACAAGAGATGGTGCTGCAGATCACAGAATCCTATGATGAAAACTACAACGAAGGCATCAGTGAAAGTAACCACCTTGATCGGGTGCTACAGGCATACAGCAATGGGGCATTTGATGATGATGATGATGTAAATCCTGGAGGCTTTGATCAGCCTGCTAGAAACTTTAATTTACAGTCAGCACCATCAATTTACAGTGTTGGATCTTACATACCAGGCGTGGGCGACCATGTTCCAGAAGGCGTTACTTATTTTTCTGATGAAGTAACATCCAGAGATTCAGGTCTGCCTGAATCATATCTAAGGACACATTTAGAACATACTGATATCTAAACTGCTGGTTATTGGATCACATGTGTGCTTCGAATTATCAAAAACTGGGGAATGTAGAAGAAGAAGAAGAAGAAGAAGAAGAAGAAGAAAAGAAGAAGAAAGAGGAGGAGAAGAAGAAAAAGAAGAAAGAGGAGAAGAAGAAGAAAAAGAAGAAGATGAAGAAGAAGAAGAAGAAGAAGAAGAAGAAGAAGAAGAAGAAGAAGAAAAAGAAGAAGAAGAAGAAGAAGAAGAAGAAGAAGAAGAAGAAGAAGAAGAAGAAGAAGAAGAAGAAGAAGAAGAAAAGAAAGAGGAGGATAAGAAGAAGAAGAAACAGAAGAAAGAGGAGGATAAGAAGAAGAAGAAGAAGAAGAAGAAGAAGAAGAAAGAGGAGGATAAGAAGAAGAAGAAGAAGAAGAAGAAGAAGAAGAAGAAGAAGAAGAAGAAGAAGAAGAAGAAGAAGAAGAAGAAAGAGGAGGAGAAGGAGAAGAAGCAAAAAAAGCAGCAGAAGGAGGAGCATGAGAAAACCGTTATGAGTAAAATCTAACCAGTCTTGACAGGTTTATAAAGCTCTTGATGTGAGTTCAAGATGTGCTTCATGAACCGAAGAAGGAGAAAAAACATTGATGGTTATTTTGATCTAGTGATTAAAACAGGAAACAAACAATACAGTATGTTTTACATAAATAAAATGCCTAACACGCAAACACACACCCACATGCATGCATGCACATGCAAGCACACACATACATGATTGAATGCATGCGTACCATGGTGAAGTGGTCAAGCCGCTTGCCTCGCACTCTGAAGGTCATGGGCTCGCTCCACAGTTGCGCCCTCAGTTCATGAGTGCAGCTTTTATGGAGGTTCCTGAAGATCGCCGCTGGAGCTATGGAGCTGGAGCTATGGAGTTCGTGCTCTTAGGGGGGGGGGGGGGGGGGGGGGGGGAACTCTCACCAGGCTGGTAGCCATCCTGCAGAGAGAGACCGAGCCAGATGAAATAAAACCCAGTGCAGTGAAGTTGACCCTCTCAACAATGACCTTTTACTTCCACAAGACAAATATATACACACAGTGTGAGTGTAGATTTCATAGTGATAACTTATATTCTGATATATGCATGCTGTTATTCATCTTCTTCTCTTTTATGTGTTCACACTTACAAGGGCAGTTAGCAATTGTGTTGTGGTTTACACCTAGGCTAAGATATCTGTCTTTTCACCAAGCACTGTGTGCGTTCTGGGGGTCCACTTTGTGGGTTCTGGGGGTCAACTGTGTGGGTTCTGGGGGTCCACTTTGGGGGAAGAAGAAGAAGAAGAATAGACCACCACCTCCCTAATAAGAATGTCAGAAGAGTTAACTAAAAATGGGTATTCTCTGAAGTCAGAATGCATCTGACTGAAAGGCAAGGAACCAACGGTCTGTATACAAATTAACCAAACATGTAAAATGGCTGTGCATGCAAAACTCAAGTTCTGGAACAAAATTGTAGAATTGCATGAAAAGCTAAAACTGTCTGTTTGAGTTTACAGCCAGTAAGTGTGAAGAAGAAGAAGAAGAAGAAAGAAGAAGAAAAAGAAGAACAAGAAGAAGAAGAACAAAAAGAAGGTGAGCAAGAAGAAAAAGAAGAAGAAGAAGAAGGAGAAGAACAAAAAGAACAAGAAGAAAAAGAAGAAGAAAAACAAAATGAAGAAAAACAAGGAAAAAAAAAACAAAACAAGAAGACCAAGAATTTATGGAATTGTATTGTGTAGTGATACTGTCTCTTTATTATAAGCCCTTGAAGGTGCAGAAAATATAAAGCAGGTACTTGCCTGAGGGTGTTAGTTATTAGGCTTTCACATATACTAGGCCATGCAATTAAGAGGTGATGTCACAAGCTAATTTAGTTGCCATTATTCCATGTCTGAACATTTTTTAAATATTGCTAAAATTAGTCATTATTCATTTCAAGAGGTTTGGTCAATTTCAAAGCTGTATTGTGTGGACAAAAATGATGTCATGCTGGTAAGTTGAGTTGAGTTAAGAATTGACATCACAGCACTTGGGGCATTCCCATGTGTGCTCCTCTGTCCTTATCTTCAGCAGCCAGCACAGTCAGAGTCTGGTTATGTCTATCTTGCCTTTCCTCTGAGTGTAGTGATCCGGCTAGACCCTCTGGTTACACCCATGTGCTTCATTCTCTCCAGGCCAAAACAATCTTTTTTCTCTACTGATTCCGTTGTTTGTCCCAAAAGGGCCTTGACCACATCTGCCTTGTCATGATGTGCCCCCAGTGGTGCAGATCCAGCCAGTCCATCTGCCTGTTAATTACCTGCTACACCGGCATGGTCTGGAGAAAAGATCCAAAGTATGCTTATTACCCGTCACTTTCCCAGTGAAGCTTGCCACTCTGCTCGAAGCATCCCTGTCTTCACCTTTTTCAGCATACTTTCAGAGTCTGTTACAATTATGACATGTGTGTGCATCTTGTTCTCTAGCCACTGGAGAACTGCAGTTACCGCCTCCATCTCCATTCTCATGCTAGATGTTGTGATGTCGTATGCTAGGCTTTCTTGCACTAAAAATTCTCTATTGGCTTTCGCTATGAACCCTGCAGCATTTCCTTTTCCTCTCAACACCGAACCATCTGTATAGATAATCATATCACCTGAGCGTGAATTGTCATGAATCAAGTGTTGGACTTCTACCTCCGTAGCACCCACTGGCCACTCTCTGCACTCCTGGCCAAAGGTGATCATAACCCTACACAGGTCAGACTTTTCCTCTGGTACCCTGACCCACTCCTTTCCTTGCCCAATGCTCTCCAACATGCATACCTGTCTTCTACTTGAGCCATCTACGATTTCCCCCTTTTCAGTCTCTGACTCTTACCTGCAACCAAAGCTTCATACAGCGTAAAATCTTTGTCTGCAACTACTCTGAGGTATGACTTAGCCTGCATCACCTTTTGCCCATCTGCAATAGTCGGCAATGCAGGGATGTATCGCATGCACACAATCGGTGTTGTCTCTAGTACATCCCAGGATCACCCACATAGCATCATTCTGTATGCGCTCCAGTTTCTTTAGCTGACTCATCGAGACAGTGAGTAACCCCCAATCTGTAATCAGTCACTGAGATGAAAAAGTGCTGGTAAAGTGTGAACAGCATATTCTGCTCCATGTCCATCGCTGCCATAATCTTTAGTGCATTAAGACCTTTTTTGAGCCTTTGTCACAACCCGTGATTGCACCCAGAATTCCCATGGTGATTTCTGGGCATCATTTTTAAAAGATCCATTGCTCCCTAATGAACATCCTGTAACAGACGGCTAATCTGAGTTTTGCAAAAGTTGCATGTACATCTTCACCTTGATTTATGAACATCCGCACTTATAACCACAGAATAGAAATCAATACAAATAACAATTTTAAAATGTAATTTTTTTATTGTATGTATGTAAAGTAGAGGACATAGTACATATTTTTCACATTATGTACAATTTTTATATGTACATAGAATGAGTTTCTATATTTTATGTACAATTTTTATTTCCTTCTTGAATAAAATAGTGTTGAAATTTATAAATTCGACTTACAATCGGTTTGACTTATGGCCTGTTTGAACTCAGTCAAAAGTTGAGGAGACTTTGTATTGAGTTGAAGGCTACAATATTACAGCTTTGGTGTAAAACCACAACACAGTGGGCCAACCATGTTTTTAAAACTGAGTGCAGAAAAAAAGAAAAAGAACCAGGAATACTATATCTCATACTAATTGCTTTACAATTATTGACTTTGATGCGTTTATAGCAATTAAAAACTGTAAAATAATCATATTTGTGTCTTATAACATTATTAATATAATTACCATATTTATACTTATCAATGTTACCACCTTTGTTTTCATCATAATAGCAAAAATATTACCCAAGGATCATGTCATTTCCGGAAATTAGAGAGATTTTTACATCTGACAATAAAATTACTCTGTGTCATAAAGTGCCACTAAAGGGGTGCCTGTTTACGCTCTTGATGTTTTTAATGAACATGGAAATTTCATGAAAAATGAGAATGGCTTTCACTATAACATTGGACCACTTAATGTGAAACACTTAGGTGTCACTGAATTGAATAGTTTTTGTATTTAACTAAACCTTCGACTCCATATCAGATGATGGTGTTTTGCTAGTGTTTTTGAATTGCTTTTTGCTGTAGAATTAGCTGATTCATTGATCTGGTACTGGAAAAGAAAAAAAATGTTTTTTAGCAGCAACACATGCAGTGCATTTACAGTCATCAGTATAATGTATGCCTACATAGATGTTACTTTTGAATGTAAACTGATTGGACTATATTCATGAATAAATGAATGAATTCAGAATTATTATCAACATATCTGGGATGAACCCAAGGTCGTAAGTTTAAAATCTGAATTGGGCAGATTTGAACAACAACAAAAATTAACAAAAACCAAAAAACCAAAAAAAAACCCCCATATTTTTGGCTCCCAGAATAGCCCAGCCTAAAATAGGTACAGTGCAATGTTCAAAGCAATGTCCAGACATCCTGATGTTAAGCACATCACGTGTCAAGTGCTAATTGATTGATAAAAATATGAGTCAAGCATCATTTGTGCTTGTGCTATATAAAATGTCCTTCACCCCCTTTTTTTAAAACCTCTTTCAGTTTAAATATTTCTACATAAACTCCATTCTCTCTAGTTCAGTAGCCAATAAAAAGTGGTTATAATAAGAAACGCTTGTAAAGAAAGAAATGGCTGGATAGACTGACAAAGAAACGCTTCTAGAGGAAAAAATGGCTGGATAGACTGACAAAGAAACGCTTCTAGAGGAAAAAATGGCTGGATAGACTGACAAAGAAACGCTTCTAGAGGAAAAAATGGCTGGATAGACTGACAAAGAAACGCTTCTAGAGGAAAAAATGGCTGGATAGACTGACAAAGAAATGCTTATAGAGGAAGAAATGGCTGGATAGACTGACAAAGTGAATGAGTGGAGATCATGATTGGTTGTTAAGGTT